AAATTATATGAATCAGTTCAGACAAAAATTTCAAATCTAGACCATTTTTATTTGGCCGTCGAAAATCGAGGTGAATTCGTCCATTTTTTTACCGAAGCTCTATTATTACAACGCCATTCTGACATGTGACTTTTTTCTCTCTAGTGAGTTTACGATGAAACGTATTTGTTATAGTATGTGAACGCTCAGCAAACTGAGTGATGAATTTTATGTTTTCAAAATTATGTTATGTTATTCAGAGTTATGTTCAACCCGAATGTCGCAAAATAACACCCAATTTCAGAACGTTTTGTTGAGCACTTGATTAAAGAGCAAGCTCAAATATGGACACGAAAATCAAGCATCGCCTCTTATAGTATAAAGCAGCAAAATGTGTAACGATGGCAGAATGGTTGTTAAAATATCTTGTCACAAAAAAAGAAATTTGAAAAAATAACAACTTTACCGACTTCCAAATTTGGGTAATGAAAATTTAAAATCGATTACAAAACGGCTGCGGAGAAAAATGATTTTTTTAAATAGCAACAAAAAAACCCCAACAGCAACAAGAATTTAACAAAACGATGGATATGCACAGTTCGTGACGGATAAAATAACTGCTGTTTTAACCCATCGTTACCTTCACAAAACGATGGCATGACTTTTGTTTCTGCCGGTAACATGCAGATGTACCTTCCTCTTCGACATGGAATGCCTGACTGATTCAAATTATAGTCTTGGCGTATTTCGTCACTTCCATCTCTATAATATATTTTAATGTATAAAAATTCTGGTTTCTATGTATTTGAACTAAAATAAATTAGGTATTTATTGCCTATCGGGCGAATACAAGTTGAAGCGAATCAACCCTAATTTGAAAAGAGGCAGAAATACCCGATTACTATGATTCATATAAATGTAGATGCCTTTTTAAATAAATTTTGTTCTAAAATTTGTTAAGCCAACCACAACCTCATGCATATTTTTTATTTTGGGCTGGTATAACACACCGGTATACTGTTGGGCATGGAGGATAAACCCTCACTCAATATTGAAATTTATTTTTAACCTGAGTCTCTATTTCATGATAAGGAAGAACAAATTCGGTAGAACGTTTTATGCTGACAAAATATTCTTGGGTTCGGAAGTTGTTCGTTAAAAAATTTGCCAATGTGAAATTTCGAGGGAAAAAATCTGGTCTCGAACAAAATAAAAGATTACGAAACAATTTTGCGTCAAAATTTAGAAATTATAATTTATCATTATAAAAAATTAAAAAAATGCACCTGCAACTACTGTAGCGACCGTCGCAAAATTGATATGATCTTAAGCACCTGCTGCCGTCAACACATTCGAATCTATCTTCCGGGCACAGAGAATCTGAGTTAGAGGATGATAGATATTTTTCTTTATTCAATTATTTATTATTAGTTACTAAATTTTAATATATGCGACACTATATCTCAATAGTGGGTCCCGTAGTATGTGTACCTTGTTAGGGTTAGACCATAATTTTATTCCGATTTTTCTTATTTTAGTTCTATTGCGAGTTCGAGGACTGTTCGTGTCAGCCAAATGAATATACCCCCTGCCTATATAGGCTTCCGTCCCTTTACACAACTTGATGTAAAGTAGGCGAACAAAATTATTTACCTCCATATCGGTACACATACTTCTGGACGCCGAATAATGTGTATGTTCTGCTGAGCATTTTTTCTATATTTTTGCTGGTATGTGACTGAACATATAGAATGTAATGTCAGTACATTTATTAATGAATTAGCTAAGATATTAGGCCATGATGACCAAGTCATATTTTCGTAAATTTGTCAAAAAATAAAACCATCATTTGCGACATACAGTTATTAGTACATTGCCGAAAAAATAGGAAACATATTGATAGCTATGAGTTTCCCATGAATCCTAAGGTGATAGTGTATTATTGAAAGAAAATATTTTCAAATTGATAAACATTCGTGATAATTTCATTTCAACTACAATAGACAATACGTTTATTTCGTCGTGCAAGAAATCACAACACAAATTCAAAACAATTTTTTTTTATGCATCACATGATTACAGTAATAGATTTCATAGCAATTGACAGGAAGTCGCGAAGGACCAGAAATGGTGAGCATAAGTCTGCGATATCCACAAGTTGATATTAACAGTACATACCAGATTTTTTAATTATCAGAATGCAAAAAATCATATGGATAATGTCCATTTCAATCATCTTTTTCCGACAAACGGCATTTGAAATTGAGCAGTAGAAACAAAGTAGAAATAGTTTGTATTTACTAAACAAATACAGAAATTGAATGTTACACTAACCATACATACTGAAAGCTCAAAAAATAATAAACTATAATATGCAATTTAAGAGTCCTGCTGCATACCAACACAAATATATTTCTGTAACGTTTCGTCTGACCAAAATCAGACTTCCTCAGACAAGCAGTTAAACTGTTGTAAACTGCTCGTCTGGTGAAGTATGATTTTGCTCAGACGAAACGTTACAGAAATAAATTTGTGTTAGTTCACAGCAGGACTCTTAAATTGCATATTATGGTATTTTTATTCCTGCTACAGCATCCTTGCATTACATGCATACGGATCCAATAGGGCAAAGGCATTGAGAAAGAATTGGGAGTTAGTCTCGCGCAACTATTACAGCGTAATCTAGTCGTCGTTGACTACTGTCAAACACTGAATTAATGTTGAAGGTTCTACTGAATACCATTTTTTTTCTATTCCATGATTGAATGAATGAATCTTCCATCTCAGAATTTTTTGCAAGTCACGACCATTATATGAATTTCTTGCCAATTTTCAGCGGATATATAAAATATAAATAAAACTAATGATCTACTAGTTTTATTTTACAATCTTTGATGTTAAAAGTTATTCGTATTGTGTCCAGTGCCAACCAAGCATAAAAATCAAAGCTAAATGATGCGTTCATTGGACGCAAAAATGCTTTGAAATGTTATTACTCGGAATTACAAGCCATTCAACCAAATAATTTCTAATTTGTTCAGTATGATCCTTTGACCTGTAAAACGTGTTAATTTGTTGAAGCATAACATATTGCCAGACATATACATAAATTTACCATTGTCTGCTTAAAAGTATTATGAAATACACTAGGAATAAAATTAATTGTAGCTGTTGTTGGGAGTTTATATGCGGTCTAACCAAAAAAATTCCAAATTTATTTAACGGGGTGAAACAATTTTTTTTCTCATGATCATAACTATCTCCCAAATCTGCTCGTGTGATTTCTGTTCTGGATTTACCAAAAAGTACAATAAATCACGTTTTTTGTTTCTACCAATATTTGCTTAAATGCACTTCACTTTATCTATAAGCATGACATTGATTTCATCGTGTATAAATCTTCAGGGCTTTCTTATTTCGGCTTCATGCACGTGGTATTCACTGTAAATTTTTCATTTAATCAACAAACGCTTCGAATAGCAAAATCCCTTTTCAGCAATTGAGAGATTATTCAACTAATGAAAAATTTTTTGGTTTGCAAACTGCATTTATCTGAGTTATTCTAAATTCTATTTAGCAATTTTGTTTATTCTTAACCGCAATTTTCGTGGGCAATAGGATAAATATTAGAAATGATATTTTGTTCTCTTTTTATTTTCGATCCACTCGTCCATCTCTTATGCAACGAAACAGCTGAATGAGTGAAACAGTGACAATATCGTGTATTTGGTTATGTCTTGGGTTTTCTCAAATGAGTTTTATGAAATCGGTTACTGGAATTCGACTCGGTACCGATAAAAGTGCTTTCCAAGGGAATTTGAAAATAAATTTAAGTGGTAAAAATTGGTAACTAAGTTGCAAGACAGCATCTATTTCTCGTGCGCATCGAAAACATCCTGCTGTCTCGGATCTCATAAAATACTTTATTAGTTTCATTGGGCACGAAATGGACCTATCAGTCGTTTGTTATTTTATTGTTGTAGATTATCGCGTTAGTATTTCTAATTTTCTTCTTGTTGTGAAAAAATCGTTTTTCTGATTGACTACTGGACCAATTACTTTGAAATTTTCAATGGTTACAAATTGTATTTTTCGTTAGAAGCGATTATATATTCATATAGCTATCACTTTCATCCATTTCAAAAGTTTATGTGGCCTCTGTGGCATGGGTGTGCAACTTTTAATACAGAAGGGCCAGATACAAATATTTGGCTGAAATCGCGGGCCGAACCTTCATTTAACATAGGCATCATAGCATAGCAGGCACAAACATTTAGGGGTTCGATCTTATGACATGAATTGTAACGTCATAGGCAAAGATAATAAATTGGAGTACAGTAAAAGCTTTGCAATGCAAAGGGATTGGATCTACTCGCACGTACCAGATTGAACTAAAGTAAAAACTCGTTTCGTGGACAGCACACCATTCAAAGTTGACACTTCTCCGCGGGCCGCAATTTTCTTGGGGGCCGCAGGTTGCACACCTCTGCTCTATGTGATTCATTTAATGTGTGCGATGACGTCATTAAAATTGCGCTCCTCGTGGCGGTTCCGCTTTCGCGTAAGTTCAATTCTGCTGCTCAGATGCGATGAGATATCGGTGGGCTACTGTGACAGATTGCACACCCGTATCAAGTCGTGTCCATATATTTGAGCATCGATCTCTTGTATTTAGTTTGCATGTAAATGAGCATAATTAGTTGCCCGAATTTCATACCAAACTGGTCGCAATAAAGAGCGCGAGTCCTGTTCACATCTTCTTCAAGTCGAATGATTGGTATGCATTGTAGAGAATAGACTGTCCATGGCGCAAACAATGTAAGCTACAGTCCCAACAGATTGAAGGAATCGCATCACGATGTTATCACGATGCAGCAGGTATGACCGGAAGTAACCCCTGAAAGGTCGTTCGTCGCCGATCGCTCGTTGATTACAACTACATTATTATTAATTAGTATTATCTGGACGGGGCCAATTAGTTTGAGCGGGAAGCTAAAACAGCGTTTCGCTTTTCTCGCCATTCGGAGAGTTAACTGCTGACATCAGACTTGTTTAGTTTTCCTGTGTTTTCAAGAATAACCCTGTTTATTTTGGCACAACTCAGTACAGTCAATGATTTATTGTTCATCGCAAGGAATGGACAAGACTCAAGCACAACGTTCAGGTAAGCAAATAAAACTTTTTAATTCGATTGAGATATATTTCGTCGTTTTTAATAATTGTACACACTACACAGGACGAATTGGGGCTTTTCAAGCGATAAAACGTTTGTTATAAAGAATATGTCTTATACATTTTTAAAAATTGTAGTGAAATGGCTTCGATGCCCAAAAACAAGAAACAGATGGAATCAAAAACTTCCCAGAGTTCGTATGTACTGTATGCAGCTTATATATATATATATATATTCAATTCACGAAGAAGATATTAGAGAGCAAAAAAGACTCATCCACGAAGAACATCATTCAGGTGATCGTTATAACAAGATAATGATTTCAATACAATAACAGTAATGCATTTTTGTCAACTTCGTTGTAGAGTTGAGTAGATACTATGCTACCATTAGGCAAGGTAGGCTGGAGCTTAGTGCCTCGCCATGCAGTTAAATAAATTCAACTATCTAATCCGCTTGGTGATAAGCCTTTGTATTCCCTTTTTTTTATTACGTCATAACGCATTCTTCACAAAACTTCAACATTTATTATTACGCCATAATACAAATAAATGACATTTTATGACGTCATTGCTAAATAGGAGGCCTCATAGGAGGTCTCTCTAAGGAGACGACCCTGGACCTAGCGTCTCTCATCATCTAAATCCGGCTCTGATCCTACACTATCATACTCACGTAAAATGCTAATCATTAAGATGGTGGTCAGTCGTACGTAATTTGGTTTCATTCATTTTCATCATGATTTTTGTGTAATAATGTGACATTTATTTTCTTTTGCTTAAATAAGATATACACTCTTACACTTCAACATTTTCTACAAATAAAGAGCTCATTTTTTGAGCAAAAATACACTCATACTACCGCAAGACGGGTTATTATTTCAATTTTCTTTCGAAAAATAACACTAGGGCTTATTTTGGCTGTGTCTTTTATTTTCATTTATCAAAAACATCATCCTTTGAGTAGTTTTGCAAGTAACTAGACGCAAAAATGTTGTGCTAATGTTTAGTTTAGGGGGAGGGCTTATATTGAATTCAATTTTAAAATTCAGGCTAGGTCTTATTTTCGGGGATAAATGGTACAAACAAGTATTAATGAATAAACAAGACTATATAAATTAATGAAAAGGCATATCCGCGACACTAAATTAATCATTATGACGGAATCTAACATTTTATTGTATTCACGGCGCTCAATTATTACATTTGTATCGGATTTTTTCTGAATGAAATTATGATAATTTGAACATTTTCCATGGTTAACTTAATACGTTTTTTTAATATTTAGAAATATTTTACCTAATTTTGTGTACAGGACCTAATCTTGTTCGCCTTTTTTACATCAAGTTGTGTAGAGCCTATGGGTATATTCACTTGGCTAACGCAGACAGTCGCTGAACTCGTGATAAACTAAAATAAGGAAAATCGTAATAGAATTATGGCCATATTCTGGTACGCATACTACGAGAGTACCGTATTATGTTTTATAATATATGATTCATAACATTTCAGTGAAATGTCTAAACGTTCGCACCAATGAAGCAAGAAGTTACTCATGTGCAGTCAACTAATTGGTATGTAAATGTTTTTTTTTTCTATCTTCAGTTAGGTATAAATAAACGCTAAATTGCACCGACAGTTATGTCAAAACAAGGTCTCATTTGGGCTAATGTTGCAACTTCAATGCAACCTAACTTCGCCATCTAAGCCTTAGATTCTAAGGGAAAAAATACGAAGTTTGCGATTAGTAAACAAATAGGAAAGTTACAATAATCTACCAAAATTGCCATATAGTTTCTTATTTGACTATTACCTAAGTTGGCTGAATTTAAATAACTCTCTCATTACTCGTGTAAATTCCTCTTTCTGTATTTTATAGCGGTAAATTTGTAGATGAGAAAGTTTTATTTATAACTTTTGGAATATGTACAGCTATTTAAGCCAATATTTGATGGGGTAGTTTCCGTCGATGAATATACTGGCTTAACGCTGGAGAGTATTCCTTCAAAAGTATATTAAATGTGATCTTTGAAACAATGTAATCTATTCGCGTTGAACGAAGTGGCAGGTGTATGGTAGAATTCAGTCTAAATTTGCTCATGCTGACTGCCATCAACATAGTGAAATAAAACTAAAATAAAAAATATTTTTATATTTGCTTTGCTGCATTTTTTCATTAACTTTGAACGTTCTTGAAATTCGAATGCGACTATCTCGGTGAAACCGTTCGGGATCATATATATATATATAGTTGTGCCGTCTTACAAATTAGCCTACTTTAAATTTAATAAGGTGACGAAACAAATTTTTCACGATTCTCTCTTGCTTATAAATGTTCTACGTTCTTACTTTATTTATTTCCCCAAAATAACAACAAATAGCGTTTGCGAAATTGCGCTCCACTTTTCCCGTAACGAGGGATTTAATTATTCTTGTATTTGTTGTTAACTCTAACTTCATTTCAGGCGACGCTCCATACCGCAAAGTTCCGGTCCAGCAAAGCAGAACGATGAGGAAACAGCTGGAAGATCGTTATGGAATGCTCGACTGATTTTTACATTTGCGATTTTGGAATTTATGCATGTCTTTTCTGTTTGTTTATATTTCGTGTTGTATTTTTATTTTGCTTGTGTCGTTCGATATGTGTATGTGCCATCCGATACTGTACCGCGGCCCAATGTCATTTGCCCAAAGCTCACAAACACAACCGCTGAATCCCGAATCACGCAGTTGTCCACGGTGACATTACTTGGTAAACGACCTCCAACATGGTCAAAATCCCCGGGATTAATAGGAAGGAGAGATAGCAATATTAGAATTATCGGGTAGGCGCCCAGTACGGATTTCCGCCAATGCCTCCGACTCGCGTCATGTCAGGGTGTCTAACGGCAAAAGAATTACCGGTTAATTTTGAGCACAATGCGCCTTGTCATCTCTTGCGCAAACGATATGGAATAGATAATAATAATTGACATGTTCACTGAAATTTTTAAGGCTTCACCAGGTTATGTACTATCGGGGTGAAAGACTGTTCGTTCGAAAGCGAATTTTTGTCCTCTGAAGGTAGTAGCGTTATCGGATTTTCAATATTTGACTTAGTTCACTAGAAAATGGTAAAGTATTGTGAGAAAATGGGAAATTTTTTACTGATTGGCACGGTTTTTCGCTACTGCCATAGAACGAAACATTAATCAATCCGTACTTTTGATAAAACACACACTTCTAGGGTGGCAGGATAACTAACCCACGTGAGAAATATGATTCGAACCGGCCTTGTGGTTTGGACGCTAAAGCTTCGACACGCAGAACTACTGAGTGTAATCATGTCCTAGAACTTAGAGCAGAGATCCAAAAGGGATGTGCCGTTTCATTGAAAAGAGGTAGAAATTTAGAAACAGCGATCACGGCGCTGAGAGTTAGTGTAATAAGAATTCATGCATTTTGTTACCCAGAAGCTTGGAAAGCCTCTGCGACAAAGATGGAGGTCTCGTGGTTTGTACCGTTTGCAAGTAGATAGATTGAGCAGAATTTGACATTCAGGTAGAGGTGGTGGAGGAATTATATGGCCATTATTCTCAGTCGTTCTGTCTGTGTGTCGAAGCTGTAACGTCTAAACGGTTAGGCCGATTTGGATGATATTTCTCACGTGGGGTTATCCTCTGTCACCCTAGTAGTGTGCGTTGCACCAAAAGTACTTATTGATGTTTCGTTTCCATAGCAGCAACGAAAAACGCGCCGATCAGTAAAAATGTTTACATTTTCTCATAATTTTTCTCCATTTTCTGGTGATCTAGGTCGAATATTAAATTTCGAACGCTACCTTCCGCGGACGAAAATACGCTTTCGAAGGAATCGTCTTTCATTTCAATAGTCCATGAACTGGGCCAGCCTTAGGAATTTTAGTGAAGATGTTTCAATTATTAGCAACAGCATATCGTTTGCGCAAGGATACCGACGCGGCGCACAGCTCCCAAATTAACTGGCAGGTCTTTTAGGAACCCTGAAATAACGCGGGCCTGAAGCATCGGCGGAGATTCATGATATATATTCACCACCCACCACAAGCAAACCTGTATTGTCAGAAACATTGATTGGATTCATAACATTTCAGTGGAATGAAAGTCCGCACCAATGGAGCGAGAAGTCGCTCATGTGCAGTCAACTAAATTAAAAAGTTTTTTATTTTATTTTAATTAGGCATAAATACACGCGAAAGTACACCGATAGTTATGTCAACAAAAGCTTTTATTTTCGCTTACGTTGCAACTTCAATGCAAGCTAACTTCGCCGTCTAAGGCCGAAGTGTAACAAATTTGCAAAAAATATAAATTTGCATTAGTAAACAAATAGGAAAGTAACAGTAATCTATCAAAATTGCTACATAGTTTCTTATTACTTATCGATCTTTAACCGATATTCTAGTTTGACTATTACCTAATTTGGTTGAATTTAAGAACTTCTTCATTACTTGTGTAGATTAATAGTATATTATTCTCTCTGTATTTTATAACGGTAAATTATAAATCATCGTAGGTGGGAATGTTTTATTTCTAATATTTGAAATAAGCAAATATTCGATGGGGCATTTTTCTAGATGAATATACTGATGTTAAATGGAGAATATTCCGTCAAAAGTATATCAAATGTAGTCTTTAAAGCAATTTAATCTGTTCGCGTTGAACGAAGTGGCAGATTTATTGTGGAATTCAATCTAAATTTGCTCATGCTGGCTGTCATCAACATAGTAAAATGTAACTAGAATGAAAAAGTTTTTATTTTCACTTTACTACATTTCTTTAATAATTTGAACGTTCTTGAATTCAAATCTCTGTGAAAACGTTCGGGATCGTAGAGTAGCGCCGTTCAACTCTAACCAATTAGTTTACTTATAATTTAATAAGGTGACAAAACAAATTTTTTCATGACTCTATCTTTCACTTTAATAATTTTCCTAAAATTACAATAAATCGTTTTGCAATTGCTACCAATGTTTGCTAAATTGCACTCCACGTTCTAATGTTCCGTTTTCTAAATCGCGCTTCACGTTTTCCGTAGCAAGGCATTTAATTATTTTTGCATTTGTTGTTCACTCTAACTTTATTTCAGGCGACGCTTCATACTGCAAAATTCCGGTGCAGCAAAGCAGAACGATGAGGCAACAGCTGGAAGATCGTTATAGATTGCTAAACTGCTTTGAGCTTAGCGATTTTGTTTCGACTTCTGGTTTGTTTTGATTCAGTGTTTTACATCTTATGCAGCAAAACAGCTGAAAAAGGGTGGTAAAATCGTATATTTGATCATGTCTGCTTTCTGTTTGCTTACACTTTATGCAGCATTTATATTTTGTATGTGTGTACGTGCCATCCGATACTGTACCGCGAAACAATGTAATTTGCCTGAAGCGCACAACCACAGCCTCTGATACCTGAATCGCATAGTTGTTCTCGGTGGCATTACTTGGTAAACGACCGAAAACATGGTTTAAATTCCAGGGAGTGAAACGAAGTGTAGATAGCCATATGAGAAGAAGAATGTGCCGTTTGAAAGATAGAAATTTAGGTAACAGCGTTCGAAGGGCTGAGAGTTCGTGGAATAATATTCTATGCGACTTGTAACCCAGAAAAGCTTTCTCGGAAAGCCTAAATAAGACGAAGACGTGTTGTGGTTGGTACAGTCTATTACTTCCAGAAGTTGAATATTTCCAGGAAAAAACGAGTCTTGAGATGACCACGAACAATGGGGGGCTTCATTTCCGTGAACCGTTCATAAAGCGCTCGAGTTGTTGCCAGCTTGTCATGTCATTTACGTTGTTACTAATAATTACCTGGTTTGAGCCCGAAAACTGAATCGTTTGTGAGTAGATCGATCGAACAGGATTTCCAATCCGAGTAAATCCGGCTTTGCAGCGACCAAGTAGGCCGACCGTATCGTATGATTACAGGCCACACACAACACGCGAAAATTCGTGAGTTCGTTTGAACGGAAGTAGCAAGCATTAATCAGTCTGTATGTAGAGTAGATAGATACATTGCCAAAAATATGACATGCAATCTGTAACTATAATAGGCTATGAGGATTGAAGAGTTTTGCAAGCAGCATATTGATCCTTCTGTACCTGATATTCAAGTTTTGTCATCAAGCATATCACATACAGACATACTGGCATGGAAGCGAGTACAGCTAGGCTTACATATGTCAGTATAGGACAAAAAGGTTCAAATGTTTAAGCATCACAAACTGCGATTTTAATTTCACCCTCTTTAGAACATTCTGACATCAGCTATTTGTTAATTCAGATTTAAGCTAGTAGTTATATGTTTCCATTATTCTGCTAATTCAAAATCTCTACCTTTGCTGCCATGGGTGAAATTCCAATAGTCGATTTTTGGGATTGTGGACTCAATGTTGAAGAGATTAGTGATGTAAACTGCACAAAAACAGGCGAAGCAATTTACCAGGCATTTGCGAAAATTGGATTTGTGTATTTAAAGAATACTGGAATAACAAGGTAACATGACATTTCTGTAATTTCTTTAAATGAATCTTAAACATACCCTATCAGATGCTATTAAATACAAGGATGAAAGCAAAATCTGAAGATTTCGATATTGGCCTAGTTTTCGGAAATTTGAATCTCGGTCTTGTCATACCACTGTACCAGGAATCGTGATGCAGTAATAATGTAATAAGATGCTTTTAGTAGCTATGCAGGAACTGCAGAGGTTAACATACAGACGGGGTTTTACAACCATGTGCACGTGCCCTCTCCTATTATTGCATCTATTGAGAGGAATAAACATACATATGTACCAGCATTATGACGTTCAATCAGTAGTTTGTCTGGGGTGATTCTATAAGCGAGTTATTTAAATTGGTCTTTGTAGTTCAGGAAATATTTGGATTTACTTGTAGAACTGCCAAATTGCTGTTTCATATCCTATGATTATACTTGACAGGGAACATGTTGATGAGGTTGATTCTACTATGGAAAAATTCTATAAACTCGATACATCCGCCAAGAAAATATATGTAAGAGATGAAAGCAATTTTGGATATATTGGTATCAATGTGGAAAGGTTTGTAGAGCTTAAAATTTGACAAAAAGGATATTCCCAAAACCAGCATAAATGTATATGATTAGGGATGGGCAATATAGAATACCGAATCCGAAGGATGCGAATCCAAAAGGATGCACTAACAGGATTCCGTTTCCGCCTCTTCGGCGCTGTGCCTCAATTTTTGTATCCCGGATTTATAATTTATTAATCAGTAACGAGCTTTTTCTCTCGCTGCGATATCTCTCTCGTTTGATTATACTTGTGTTTTCTCGCAGCAAAGAACCCGCAAAAGCGGCATACATCAAACACCGCATATTAGGAACGCGAAAACCGAAAACGGCATTATTGCACCATTTTTGCTTTTTTCAATCTTACTATCCCTTTAATAATAATTATTATTGAATCCTGAATTTTTGGAATACATGAAACATTTTTTATTTTAAACTAAATCACTTTTCGCGGCCCCGAGTTCTCTCCGAAAATGATGTGTATCAGACATTATATGATAAAACATTATTTGTGAATAATGTAGATCAAATTTTACTGTTCACGACACCCCGTTTCCGAAAAAAAAGTTATATCGCAAAACAATGCATTTTGTTACATTTATTTTGCACTCTCAATGGAATACCTATTTTTCGGAATTCAAGTCGCCGATGAATTCGTTCTTTTCGTCCAAGCTCGACACACGTTTGGTCGAGTATCGGGCTGTATTTCAATAGGCGATAAATTAAAAATATAATAGAAATGAATTTGTCTCAAGATGTTATTTTACGAGTCTTGCTCGCAGAAAATAAACACGCTGGCATACTTGATAATTGATAGTCGTTATATTTATTTTACACCGTTAATTGACGCGGCACCCGTTTCGGCCGCATAAATTGCAGTGACCTCGGCCTGGACTGTGTGTTTTCGGCGCTCTCACATTAATAATAATTCAATGTTTTTTCATAACAATTTTTGTATTTCACAATTTAGTATTAAAGTGTATATTGCGCTATTCATTTTGTCATATAAGTATTTAGGAATCACATAAAATTTGCACAATTCGAAGCAAAATGTAATTTGTTAAAATTCTTATATTTCATTGTCCTGTTCGGTAACGAATAAAATCCAATGTTCAGGGTATTTTCAATACAATACAAAGGTAGCAGTAGTACATTCACCATTTTGCTTTTTTAAAATTGTAATCCATAAATATGGTGGGAGAATCCCACATTTGAATAACAATAAAAATGGAATAGGATTCGGTATTCTGGATTCGTTTTAAGTAGGCTATTCCAGAATAGTAAATTATTCTATATATGATATTGTTTTTTTACAAATACGCCCTATCAGCTTCTATGCTTTGATAAAATGCAATAGCAGCAACAAATACAAATTGTTTTTGCAACATTAAAATACACAATAGACGTTTTGCACAACTGATGCCGGAACTAAAAAAAATTTAAAATCTATCGCAAGTTTAAATTGTCTTCATTGACAATAGTTTTATGGCTCCGACTGCATGTGTTTCATCGTTTCAATCTAGCGCGGTATTTGAGTGTGACACTACCGTTGGTAATTAGTTATTTTCTTTAACTTGAATATGCAGCATTAACCCAAAGAGACCTGGCGATTACAAAGAAGCCTTCAATATATCTTATAACACCGATGGGAAATGGCCTGATGAACATGTACCAAAGTTTTCTTCTAAAATGGAGACATTTTGTGAGCTATGTCGGAAATTATCTCTGAGAATTATTGAAGTTTTAACCAAAGGAATGAAAATAAAAGTATGCTTGTGGTATTTTAACCTGATCCAGTTGAGTTGTGATAATGAATACTAAAACGAGTGTTGTAGGTTGATGTAAGATTATGTTTTCATTTGCAAATTTTTGTTGCATAACATTTTATGTTAAATGTAAATCAGTAAAATAACAAAAATGATGATAGCAAGTTTTTACAATCTCAAGTTTTGATTTTTATTATGCTATTACGAAAAATTTTACCTTAATTTTGCGAACTTTTTTTACCACCTTGTAGATTAAGTGGCAAATGATACCACGGTCGTGGCTAATACCACTGTAATTCAGGATTTAAGCGTTCAACTAGTTTGGTATGGCTAGTTTAGCTTTAGCTGTACTAATGAATCGAATGCCTGTATCAGAGATAGATAAAAAAAAGTCTGTAGTGTGGTTGTAATTGCTTCATAATTTTTTAGGACTCTGACTATCTGATGAAATGTCATTCCAGGATGAATGGGAAGGATAATTTCACAACATTGAGAGCTCTTCATTATCCTCCTATCCCTGATGATGTTACGCTGAAACCTGGGCAAATACGACTCGGTGAACATTGTGATTATGGATCATTCACACTCTTATTTCAAGATAATGTGGGAGGTTTACAGGTGCGAATAATAAATATAGTGGTTTAAATGTTGGAAGAAGTATATTGATTAATGATATATCATTATAATGACAATTATATAATATTATATTACCAGAAATCTATCAATCTGTATCAAACAATTTCATATTATTTCCATATAAGTATTTGCCAGGATATATCAATTTTCTTTTGTTCTTGCCCTACTTTGTCCATATATATTAGTTTCTTTCGAATCCTATTAGTTGGTAGTCATTTGAAAATGGGATTTGTTAAATAAGTTCAGCAACTGAGTTTTTGCTTTACTAGTTTTATTTGAAAGTCGTCAGTTTGGACTCTTCATAGTCATGTATGATATACACCTTGCTCATGGTGTAATTAATGGTGAGACAGGTGCAAATTTATGGTTCAACCCAATCATTCTTTGTGTCTGCATGTGCTTAATGTTTGAAACATTAACTAATATGTCTTATTGCAGGTTGAAGGATATGATGGGAAGTTTATGGAAGCAGTTCCAATCCCAGACACAGTTCTCGTTAATATCGGAGATATTTTGCAATTCTGGACAGATGGAAGGCTCAAATCAACCGTGAGTTATGTTCTTATTCATCAATTCTTCTTTGATTCCATTAAACATATCTTAATAAAAATTAGCAAATGATAGAATTTACATATTTATTCCAGTCGATAAGACGGCTTGATCATATGGCGTACCACGGCCCCTCGTCAGGTTACCAGTCCGTGCCGGGTATGGGATTAGTTAACCAGTTACTTGTTTTCGAAGCATGGAGTTGAAGCATGGCATAATTATTAAGTGCACATTTGTATTGATTTCCTGCATCCTTTTTTTTTTGTGTAAATTTCAGAAACACAGGGTGATGATTCCGGGCATTCAATCAGCCAGGAATGTCGACAGAAAATCTCTTGCGTATTTTGTTCATCCAGATCACGAAGTTGTTTTATCAGGAATTGAATATGGAGCTTCATGTCTGGATCATCATGAAAGAATTGAACCTGAATATAAAGAACCTGTTACAGCTTTCGAACATGTTAATCGTAGGTTTCAAAACAGTTACATCAATTGAGAATATTTTATCACTTGCCGAACTAAACAAAATGTGCGCAACCCCTGTGATTGCTGAATAAATCAAACTGCTGCATCTAAAATAGCTTCTCAATATCAATATTTTCTGTGTAACATGTCTACCATTTCGGATCATCTTTACAATTTTGTGAGAAAAGTCATGGCACGTGACAATTGTCATTAATCTAGGGCTTTTGATCAATTTTATCACATGTAGTCAATCAATTGCGGGGTTTAAAGATTCAAGACATGCATAGATTACATCGGAGTTATATTGAATCCATGAGTTGTGTTATGTTTTTGTCTGTATCTGTATTTTCCAACTAGTTTGAAGTAACAAGTCCATCCGTTTTGTGTGTGACAGTCGACTCATTTTACAATCTTCTGGAGAGCCATTTTGTGATACTTACTTGCTTCCAGTTGTGGTCTGTTGGTCCTTGTTTAATTTAATTCACCTTATTCTTCAGATCTGACAAATTTAGTCTAATTGAGGTATTTTTAAGCTTTTGAGTGAATTTGTAAATCTATTTCTTGCCCTCTTTGTCATTTGCTGAGGTTTTCAATTTATTCTTTGTTCTGTGTTTGGCATTTTTTATATCAGTGTTTTCTGCAGTGTAGAAATTGTTCATCTAATATTGCCTGCTATTGCTGAATATTATGTATTGTGCAATCATAAGACATTACCTATTGCAACTTTTATTTTCCGCAATAAAGAGAAAGAATCCAGATGAGTATATCTTTGTCGGTTGGTTGACTGCATTAGCACAGCACAAGTTCAATATAAAGTGTTGGGGCTAGCATTCTAGAATACAATCATACACACAACAGTACAATCATAAGCCAATATTTACCTGTTGTAATTTTTATTTTTCTGCAATAAAGAGAAATAATCCAGATGAATATATATCTTTGTTGGTTGGTCGAGTGCATTTGTACTGCAATTAGTTTAACATAAAGTGATGGCGCTAGCATTCTAGAATTAGATAACTGTGTATAATTATTTGGTTGCAAGGGCAACTATCGTGTGTGATGCTTTTCATCTTGTTTGAGGTACATTGGTGCTTTTTATCTGTAACGTTGGAGATTTGTAACTAACTAGTTAGGGTTGAGCGTTGGAAAATGTGGACAAAAAAAAATCTAGTCCCTATAATTGAGTTTTTCAAATTGATAGTGAATCCGCGTGAGCAGGACGATCGGCGATGTTAAGTTGGGGTTACTTGTGCCAGTTAGAAATAGAGGTAAACTTCGGACATGCCAATTACCAAGTCCCATATCACGGCGTTGCAGGATCGAGTGAATTCCAGTCAATTACGCCTTGGTGAACGATCTAAGTCCACACATATTTCCATTCTCTACGCGGCCCATGATCCGTGTAATGCTTCCTGTCCCCAAATAATACTTTCGAAAACTTGTCTTAATTGCGCGACTCGGCATCCCATTTTTTGGGTCCTGCCCACCAACCAAATATTTTACGAGAGTTAATATAAATGTGAAATTAACAGGATATAGAAGTTTCTCATATGTCATTTGGTGGCGGGAAAATAGCTGCATTATTGTAAAATAAAACACTGAAATTATATTCAAAAGCTTTAGACAAGGAATGGCGAAACACTGGCCCGCGGGTTTTTCGGTTTTCCGTCAGGTCACAATTTAATGCACAGACATGCCGACACCCTATTAATAAAAATTGATAATAAAATCGGCCTTTGTTTAGTACAACAATAAGTGAACTAATATACCGTGAATAAATAATAATTTATATTATAGTATATCTCAGGGATGCCGAATCTTTTTATTGGATGAATCAAATTGCATTTTTATTGAGGCCAAGAAGTCGGTGGGGCACAGACATGTAATCAGTGTCTGCTTCGATGAGAAAACATTTTGGAACATATTGTAATCTGTCAAGAATGATACAAAGAATGTTACTTCGGAGAGAACGTTTTACGAAACTCAGAATTTCAAATCTGAAATTTAGGTGTTGGAGGAAGCAGTTAGGTAAATCGGGCATTGCAAGTACCAATCTGATGAAATGTCATTCCATGAATGGAAAAGAAAAAGATAATTTCACGACATTAAGATCTCTTCATTATGCTCCCATTCCTGATGATGTTGCACTAAAGCCTAGGCAAATATGACTCGGTGAACATTGTGATTATGGATCATTTACACTCCTATTTAAAGATAATGTGGGGGGTCTACAGGTGCGAATACTAGATATAGTGGTTCAAATGGTGGAAAAAGTATATTCATTGTTGATATGTCATTGCATAACAATTATATATTACCAAAAGTTAAAAAGCGTACAAGCACTTGCCCACCCACCAAAAAAATAAAACAAGCACACAAAACGCGATTCAGAATCGGGCAATACTTCAAACGCAATTTCACATAAAACAGCAAAATTTAAGTAGGTAATTGAGCGTAGTAAACTTTTAACAACTTCTTTCATTATTGATTCATTAAACAATTTCATATACTTGCTATGTATGTAGTTGCCAGAATATATAAATTTCTTTTTGGTGATATTTGAATCCAATAAGATATATATATGAACTTATTTGTAATTTGGTAAATAACTACATTAATTGACTCGTTTTACTGGTACATGAGTTTTCTACGATGTCATGTCTCATCCACCTAACTACATGTTCTTGCTCTATAAACTTTGTCGTGAATCGTGATATATAAATTTCTCTTGGTTTCTTTTAGTTGGTAGTCATTTGAAAGTGGGATATGTTAAATGAGTTCAGCAATTGAGTTTTTGTTCCGCTAGATTTATTTAGATGTCGGCATTTTGGACTCTTCATAGTCATGTATGATTACCCACCTTTCTTGTGGTGTAATTAATGGTGAGACAAATGCAAATTTATGGTTCAACCCAATCATTCTCTGTGTCTGCCGGTGCTCAATGTTGTCAATTGTACTGTTTCGTAGCAATGTGAGATAAGCAGTATCTGTGTGGAGTTGCTTGATAAGACAGGTAATGAAATTTGTTGTGCTAAGCTTCATATAATTTTGAGCAAGAAAATTGCTAATGTCAATAAGAGTCTTAAAATCGATAACTAATCACGTGCTTACCAAATGCTTGGGTCGCGAGAAATTAGAAATATTTTTTTTTTGGTCGCGACAAAAAGTAATTGCGGACCCCTGCATTACTGCATTAGAGCAACTTTGTTCTAACGGGGAGGAATATTGCCGTTTTGGAGGAGAAATGTTTCTTTATACCCTCTCTATTGTATTACGAATATTCTCTACTTTTTTTATTACTATTATAAAACTTATTCAAGTACAGTGTACACATTATAAACTACCTAACATGTTTAGATTGTGTGATTTTGTTGAACAACTGTCTAGGATTTCTGTTGATAATTTACCTGACTAGCCTATTAGAATAGGTTTAAACTAGTTGAATCCTGATTTCTTGAAAGTCAACTGAGTAAAGATTTGTATTAATAGAGAACGTTTGACATTTGTAGAACCTGTATATGAAGGTACGTCGTAAACAGCGCCAAACGCAAATGTAAGCTGAGAATAAATTCTGTAACTGCATAAATGACGCCAAACAAATGTGATGTAAAAATACTGCCCAATTTTCATTTTATTATCAAATAAAAGTCGGTCCTGCGCATCGATACATCCTATTTAGCATAGGACATACCTGCTTAGTTGAAAATGTAGTGGGTTGATTTCAACTGAACAAGTCTGTCGAGAATTTTATTTTGCGCCAGACAGATATTTTTTAAATTGCAAAAATTTTGCTTTACAGTTATATTTGGCATTATTTAAGGATTTATATCGCTAGACATAATAGAGCAGCGTTGATTGATACACTGCCAAAAATATGGCATTTAATCTATACTGCTAAAAGGTTAGAAAACTTTTTGTGAGTGCAAGTGGCATATTGACGTAATCTAGCTTTCCGCACCTGAATTAAAGTTTATTCAACAAGCAAACAGCATACCTGGGTAAAAGCGAGTAAAACTGGGCTACCTACATGACCTATGGTATGTAACGATACATATAGGTAATAAATACTAATGCAGGACAAAAATGCGCAGATGTTTAGAGTTTAGACAACACATAGAGCGATTTTGATTTCACCCACTTCTAACAACATTCTAACATCATCTATTTGTTTATTCAGATTTTAGCTAGCCTCGTTGCCATGCTTTGCTAAATCTTTTTTACCTGTGCAGCTATGGATGAAATTCCAATAGTTGATTTTTGGAATTGCGGACTCAATGTTGAAGAGATTAGTGATGAAAACTGCACAACAACAGGTCAGGCAATTTACCAGGCATTTGCGAATATTGGATTTGTGTATTTAAAGAATACTGGAATAACAAGGTAACATGACATTTCCGTATTTGTTTTCTTATTCTCAATACAACCCATATGATCTTTACTTATACTATTGTTTCATTGAGAGATATAAACCTACATAGCCTACTTTCCAGCATTCTTACATTAAATCAGGAATTTGCATGTTTGTTTGGGACGATTTAAGTGAGTTATTTTAATTGGTATTTATAGTTCATGAAATATTTGGATTTACTTGTAGAACTACCAAATTGCAGAGTTTTCATATCATATGAATATACTTGACAGGGAACATGTTGATGAGATTGATTCTACTATGGATAAATTCTATGAACTCGATACACCAACTAAAGAAATATATGCAAGAGATGAAAACAGTTTCGGATATATTGGTATCAATGTGGAAAGGTTTGGATGAGCTTTAAATTTGACAAAAAGGATATTAGATAAGTCAGCATAAATGTTTTATGATTTTGTTTTTGTTACAAATATGTGCTATCCGCTTCTAAGTTTTGAAATATTGCAAAAGCAGCAACAAATGCAAATTGTTTATGCATCCTTAAAATACATGAATGGACGTTTTGCGAAACTTATATCAAAATTAAATACCACTCAAAATCTGTGTTGATAATTATTTATTTTCTCGAACTTGGATATGCAGAACTAATCCAAAGAGACCAGGGGATTATAAAGAAGCGTTTAATGTAAATTATACCAACAATGGGAAATGGCCTGATGAGCACGTACCAATGTTTTCTTATAAAATGAAGAAATTTTGTGAGCTATGTCGGAAATTATCTCGAAGAATTATTGAAGTTTTAACTAAAGGAATGAAAATAAAAGTATGCTGGTTGTTTTTCAATCTTTCTTTGGGAAATTGTATTGCCAAGTTGCCAATCCATCTAGGTTGTGACAATAAATACTAAAATGAGTGTAAGGTTGAAATAGCGTTGTGTTTTCACTTGGCAAATTTTTGTTGGATTAACATTTTTGAAGAGTTGATAAAAAATATTGAGACTAGTCGCTGATAACAAATATCATACGTGTTATTAAAGATTTAAGCGTTTGAACGGTTTGTTATGGATATTATGGCTTCAGCTGAATCAATGCCTGTGTAAATGAAAGTCTTCCTGTCTGCAGTGTGGATATAATTGATGATTTTTAGGACTCTGACTATCTGATGAAATGTCATTCTAGGATGAATGGAAAAGATAATTTCACGACATTAAGATCTCTTCATTATCCTCCTATTCCTAATGATGTTGCACTGAAGCCTGGACAATTACGACTCGGTGAACATTGTGATTATGGATCATTCACACTAATATTTCAAGATAACGTAGGAGGTTTACAGGTGTAAATAATAAATATAGTGGTCTAAATATTGATTGTTGATATAACATTACATTATATATTATTATATTGCCAGAAATCCATCAATCTTTATTAAAAATTTCATATACTTGCTATATAAATATTTTCCAAGATTCATAAATTTTATTTTTTCATCATATTTGTATCGAGAAGTGGAATTTTCTAAATAACAACAATAATTGAGTATTTGTTTTTCTGGTACATGATTTTTCTGCAATAGCATGTCTCATTCACTTAACTACATTTTGTTGTTCTATAAACTTTGTCGTCAAATGTGATATGTAATTTTTTTTGGTTTCTATCAGTTGATAGTAATTTAGACGTGTTTGAAAGTCAGCAACTTGAGCTCCACGTAGTCATCTATGTTTAACATCTTCCTCAAGGTGTAAGGAACGGTTCAAGCAGGTGCAAATGCAGAATCAAGCCAATCATTATTCGGACAGCCTGTGCTGAATGATTGAAACATTATATAATATGGGTTATTGCAGGTTGAAAGTTATGATGGAAAGTTTATGGAAGCTGTACCGATTCCGGACACAGTTCTTGTTAATATCGGAGATATTTTGCAATTCTGGACAGACGGAAGGCTCAAATCAACTGTGAGTTATGTTCCTATTCACAGATTCTTCTTCAAATTAAACATATCCTAATAAAAAATAGCATAATTATTAAGTGTTGCTTTTTTCGATTATGTAAAGAATATATTCTCGTTTATATAATTGAAAAACAGAATTTTGATAAAACTGTAATTGTCACGTTTGTTGTCACTGCAAATACTTTTTTGTTATTGATTTTTCATTGCAATTTGTATTACCAATCTAGAGCAGGGGTCGGCAACCTAAGGCCCGCGGAGTACACTTATCTGACCCACGACGCTTCAACGAATTATAGTAACAAAACGGCTGTTTTGACGATTCTTTACGTATCAGAATTTATTGTGAGACACGTGTAGACTAAATTATATCAAACCTGAAAAGTTTATAATTCACAATTATTCGTTTAATGGGCCTATAGTTTAATTATAATTATACAAATGGCAACAGAACGCAGAAAAAGTTGATGCTAAGTGCAAAGGGTTCAATGGCGCAGAAAATATTCAAATGTAATTTTCTGAGATAAATAAATAAAATCTATATTTTATTCGAGGGATCACTGCTTGGTTTTTATAAAGAGTATCTATTTGAAGGAAAACTTGATCCAAATTTGACAAACCATGCAAAAAAAATCACATCGATGTTTGGAAGTACATATATATGCATGGAAATAATTGTTTTCGAAAATGGGCATAACTATATACAAGCAGGAACTCGGATTAGTGATGCCCATTTATAAAATGTTTTAATATTGGCCTCATTCAATGTCCCTTTTAGAGAATGTTTCCCATTCGGTATAAACATCGAAAACGTATCAAGAACAGTCTTCGCGCGCTTCTTAAAATTTCAAATTGCGATTTCTGATTTGTGGGAAAAAATTATGATTCAAGCCGGCTCCTGCCTTAGAGCAACTTGTCCAATACTGGTTATGTCGTTTTGGGGAGAAAATTTTTCCTTGTACTCACTGTAGTATTACTAATATTCTTCAGTATTTTAATATTACTATATTACTTATTCATGAACACATTATAAACTCCTTATTTAAATGGAGTGATTTTGTTGAACATATTTAGGATTTCTGATTAATTATTCTTAGGCCTTAATCTTTATTTGTATTGAAAAAGATTCGAATTTGTTCAGTTTATGGGAAGTCGATTGAGTATAAATTTGTATTGATAGCAGATTGAGGCCTTTTTGCATACTTTTTTTGTGTAAATTTCAGAAACACAGAGTGATGATTCCGGACATTCAATCAGCCAGGAATGTCGACAGAAAATCTCTTGCGTATTTTGTTCATCCAGATCATGAAGTTGTTTTATCGGGAATTGAATATGGAGCTTCGTGTCTGGATCATCATAAAAGAATTGAGCCTGAATATAAAGAATCTGTTACAGCATTTGAACATGTTAATAATAGGTTTCAAAGCAGTTACAGTAATTGAGAATCTTTTATCATTTGCACAAATTAAGCATTATGCGCGAAATTGATTTCTCTTGTGGCTGCTAAGCAAATTATACTGCTGCCTCCAAAATAGCTTCTCAATATCAATATTTACTGTGTAACATGTCTGCCATTTCGGATCCTTTTTACGATATGTGGGAAAATTGTAACTAATCTAGAACTTTTGAGCAATTCTATCGCATTTAGGTATGAAGGTTCATACATAGATTACAGCGGAGTTTAGATTCAATCATCATCTCGATTAGTTGTGTTGTGTGCTGTTGTAGTGATGTTCTAATCTGACTGTTTTTGTTGACTAAAATGTCATCTATAATAAATGCTTGCTAAATGATAAGAATTATTATATAAAGTTCCTTTATATATATATATACAAATACCATGTTCCCAATACTGTTGTTGCTGTGGAGCGTACTGGTAGCCTACTTACTGAAGTTGTTGTTTTCCGCTGACGTTGTTAGCGGATGATTGATACAATTTGTTGCGTGTAAGCGATGACAATATGATCAATGAGGACAGTCGGGATGGTTTTAAATGTAGGCACCTAATGTAAAATCCGTAAATTTAAAGTTGAAATGGTCTATGGTCTTTGGTGGTGTCCCGCTTCGAGGTCACAGAAATATGGTAACCTTAGTCATACCCAAAAGGTTTATGAAGATTTATCTTGACGTTGCACAGCATAGGATTCGACAGGACAATTTTAGATTCACGTTAATCGTGCTTCGCTGAAAACACAAAATTGTAAAAAGGTAATCACCAAGGTAATCTTAGCTGAAAACATACGTTATGACATGTATTTAATTGCTGTATAGAGGGACAACAAAGCTGATGGTGCTTAAGTTGTCATGTTATTAAACTTTGCTTGAGAAGAAAAGATTTAGACCCTTCAGTTTTTAGAACAAATCTTCGGCTTGGCGGTGTGACGCATTGCGGTGAGCGTTGGAAATACGCTCGCCACCTCTGATTACTCTAGGTGAGTTCGCAGGCTCGAATCCTATGTGTAGTTAATTGTGTGCGAAAGGATTGCAGGACTTCGCAGCGATGTAGGGCTGTTCGCTTAACTGCTGGTCGGGTTCGCAGGTTCGAATCCCATGTGTAGTTAATTGTGTGCGGAAGGATTGTGGGACTTCTCAACGCCGTAGGGTTCGCTTAACTGCTGGTCGGTTACGGCTTCTTCCACCATCAAGTTCATGCATCTGAAAATAAATAACAATTTCTGTTCAATTATCTTTTTAGGTTCAATATCTATATTAGGATATATTATTATCAAATCTATTTTTCAAATATTGCCTGCTATTGCTGAATATTATGTATTGTGCAATCATAAGCCATTACCTATTGCAATTTTTATTTTTCTGCAATAAAGAGAAAGAATTCAGATGGGTATATCTTTGTTGGTTGGTTGACTGCACAAGTTCAATATAAAGTGTTGGGGCTAGCATTCTAGAATTAGATAACTGCGAAGAAAAAATTATATGGTTGCCAAGGCAACTATCGTGTGTGGTGATTTCTAACTTGTTTGAGGTGCATTGTTTTATTTTTGTCTCTAACGTTGGGTATTCCCTAGTTGCGTTTTCATATTGATAGTCATTTTTGCAAAAGATTTGAGCGTGAGAAGATGAGGTTACTTGTGCCGCTTAGGAATATTCATAGGTACATTTTTTGGACTAGATAACTCTCTTATCACGGCTTTGCAGGTTTATGGGAACTTTTAGCCGATTACGCCGTGGTGATCCGCTAGGTAACGAAATAATGCATAAACAAGCTAACGCTCCACTTATAATAATGATAATAAAACCAGCAATAAGTGAAATACTATATCGTAAATAAGTAATAATACTATAGTATATTGCAGGGATGGTGAACATTTTTCATTGAATGGGTCAAAAATTCTATTTTCATTTTATTGAAAATAAATGGGTCATAGACATGTAATTAATAGCTGCATCGATAAGAAACTAGTTTTCGTATCGTTCAGCAAGACTTATAATTATTGGTTGGTATAACATCATGCCTGAGATTTTTAGTACTCGATCTTATGAAATTCATGCAGGGACACCGGTGATTCGCATGCATATGAATTACCGAAACACCTTTTATATTGCCTCGGCAATTTTTTATGGGTTCAGAAGAATGAAATTCCACTCCAAGAGAATTATATATTTTGATCGGCTTTTAACCGCGCTGTCATGTTGTACCATTGCTTTTCGGATTTCTGTGGGCATAAATTTAAGTTCGTAAAATTTTGTTTTCCAAATGCTATTGTATGCCCAAAAAGGATGAACTACAAAGTAGCAGTTAGTCTCGCATACTCCCCAAAACGCTTTGCTGCTTTGGTCCCCCCAACACACACACACAAAATACTCTAACAACGCAAGTCGCGACACACGATTCATTATATTGGCAGATTGGGGTTCAGGTTATGCGACATCTTGGTGCGCATACCTCAGAAGCACCGAGTTTTGTTTATCGCAAGTTTGTTGGTTGTAGTCATAGTCGTTACTCAGTTTTGCGTTCTTTATAGTTAGGGTATGCCATTTGTTTAGTTTTATTCTGTTTTCTATTGTTAAATGGTAGCAATATTGAACGTTATTGCTATTAGACATTCTATCAATGAATATTTCTATAATATTTCTATAAATGATTAACAAGCGTACGGAATATTTAATGTGGTAAAACGACAGTTTTACCCATCGATGTGGTAAAACGACAGTTTTACCCAACTGTCTCTTTACAAAATTTCAAACAGGCTAATGAGATCATCAGGTTTTGGTATTTTTCATAAAATTTGATTTCCAATTGGTCATGCTGACTATTTTTCATCAACATGACAAAATGTAACTGAAAAAAATTAGAGTTTTGGGACCTCCTGAAGTATGCACACCAAGATGGCGCACAACCTGAACTCAGGTTGTGTACCAGATTGGGGTTCAGGTTATGCGACATCTTGGTGCGCATACCTCAGAAGCACCGAGTTTTGTTTATCGCAAGTTTGTTGGTTGTAGTCATAGTCGTTACTCAGTTTTGCGTTCTTTATAGTTAGGGTATGCCATTTGTTTAGTTTTATTCTGTTTTCTATTGTTAAATGGTAGCAATATTGAACGTTATTGCTATTAGACATTCTATCAATGAATATTTCTATAATATTTCTATAAATGATTAACAAGCGTACGGAATATTTAAAATATATATGTTTTAGATGTGATTCAATATGCAACATGAAACTATCAGAATGGGGTAGTTTTTTAAACGTATGTTTATGTTTACAGATTTTCAAGATAAAGGAAAGAAACAAAACATTTTGAACCGTGCTTGTAAACTTTCAAGAATGACACGAAGAATATTACTCCGAAGCAAACGTTTTACGAGACTTCGATTGATCAGGATTTCAAATCTGAAATTGGGGTGATGGAGGAAGCAGTCATGTAAATCCGCCATTGCATCTACCAAGTAGTTGCTCTTTCTCACAATTTCATCGATCATGAGATGCGAACCTGCCTTGTCAGGAACACCATCAGTGAATTTTTTAATAGCCAGTGTATATCAAAACGAATTTTTTTATAATATATAAGAGAGCGTATACCCGCAACAGATATAAGGAATCAATTTGCATCGCTAAATTCTGAGAAAGGGCTAAACATCCACACGATCGAGCAGCGCAAATTCGCACGTTCGTTTGAAGTGTAACGATACCAAACGGACAAACAAAATTCAAAGTTACCTAGAAGACGAGCTTAACTAAGAACAGACTGACAGAGAAATAGCGGAAGCACGAGTTACAAACGGGAATTTAATAATTCTATTATTACCACGGAGGACAAATGTTGCGGCATTTTTTCAATAGAGAGAGTTTTAAATTCGTAGACCTATGTCTGTATGTAGAGAGCAAGTTAAAATAAAGAAACAAAGCATTTTTGAAACGTGCTTGTAATCTTTCAAGAATGACACGAAGAATATTACAGCGGAAACAACGTTTTATAAGACTTCGATCGATCAAGACTTTGAATCTAAAATTCAAGTGATGGAGGAAGCAGTCATGTAAATCTGCTATTGCAACGATCAGGTAGTTGCACTTTATTGCATATTCATCGCCCACCAAATGCAAATCTATCTTGTCAGCAACGCCATCAGTCAACTTTTTTAATAGCCAGTCTATATCAAAAATTAAATTTAATACATAAGAGAGCGTATCCGCAGTATATATGGGGAATCAATTCGCATTGCTGAATTCTGATGAAAGGGCCAAATATTTACACGACTGAGCAGCGCGTTCGTTTGAAATCTAACGATACCGAATGGACAAACAAAATTCAGAGTTATCTGGAAGAACAGACTGACAGAGAAGTAGCGGAAGTACGAGTTACAAACGGGAATTTAATAATTCTACCATTCCCACGGAGGCCAAATGTTGCGCCATTTTTCCAATAGAGAGAGTTTGAAATTCGTAGCACCTATGTCTGTATGTAGAGAGCATTGATACACTGCCAAAAATTTGACATGCCCCCTATACGGTTTGAGAAATATTGTGAGTATAAGTAGCATATTGACGTGATCTCAGCCTTCTGTAACTGATATCGAAGTTAATTCAACGGTGAAGGCGAGTAGAGCTAGGCCACTTATGTACATATGTAATAGCCCATGAATAACCTACAAATGCAAAACAAAAATTCTCAGACGTTCAGACATCATTAACAGCGATTTCATTTTCAGAACATTCTAACATTTTTGCTATTTGCTCATTCAGTTTTTAGCTAGTAGTTACTTTGCCTTATGCTGCCAATTCAATTTTCTCTATCTTTGCTGCCATGGGTGAAATTCCAATAGTCGATTTTTGGAATTGTGGACTTGATGTTGAAGAGATTAGTGATGAAGACTGCACAAAAACAGGCGAGGCAATTTACCAGGCATTTGCAAAAATTGGATTTGTGTATTTGGAGAATACTGGAATAACAAGGTAACATGTCATTTCAGTTTGCTAATTTACAAAAATACGAATCAAATCAAGATATAAGAGAGCACTTTACCACACTTTATGTCCACGGTTTGCTATGGTATATTCCGCGGAGTAATGCTTGCATTTTATTTACGCAATCGTAGATTTACCTGATCGCAACCAATTTAATAAAGCAACCAAATTTAAATATGCCCAGTCATGAATTAAATATTTTCTGAAAAATCATTGCATAGCCGAAAAGTCTGCTCTTTTAACAAGTGGCGGAGATTTCGAGGCGAAGAAGATATATTTGACACTGCTATACTTTATATGTCTAAAAATGTATTTCAAAACTAAATATATTTGGGCAGTCTCACATCTTATGTCCGCAGATTTTCGCGGTATTTCAGAATAGCCATGTTCCTATTTCGTCGTAAGTCATTACGTTGAACACAATTAAATTTAAATAGAAGGAAATAGTTATGGATTGAATATTACGCGACAGAAAAGTCGAACTATTTTTAACGAACGCACAATCGCGGCGACCGTTTTAAAAACCGTCGCATGAAAATTTCCGATTCCATTTTTGATTTACTTGCAGAACTACCAAATTGCAGATTTTTCAATATCATATAATTATAATTGGCAGGGAACAAATTGATGAGGTTGATTCTACAATGGATGAATTCTATAAACTGGATGCATCAACTAAGGAAATATATGCAAGAGATGAAAGCAATTTTGGATATATTGATTTTAATGTAGAGAGGTTTGTTGAAGCTTATAGAATTTGACGAAAAGGCTATTTGCCAAATCGACACAAATGCATGGGATATTGTTTTTTGCTAGACATATGTGCTACCGGCTTCTAGACCAGGTGTGGGCAAGGTTTTTGGTCCAGGGGTGAAAAATTGTGACCACCTAGACTGGCGGGCCATGTAAGTTTGACGTAAAAACATTTTATGAACAATATTTAAAGTGTTACAAAAGTAAACTTGGAAACAATAAGCCTCGTGCCCAAACTAAATGTAATCGTAATCCTAACAAATTCTTTGAGTTATTGTTTAGCTCAAACATTAAAATTTAGTTTTAGTTTGGTTGTGGCAGCATCAGGCAGGCCAGATTTACTTACCTAGCTGGCCCGATTTGGCCCTAGTGTCACAGTTTGCACATGTCAGTCAAATCCAATATCAGCAAAATAAAAGTACATTCATTAAATAATTTTGACATAATTGACGTAGAGACTAAAAAACATCAAATGACGATCAAAATTTAAATTGACAATGGTTTTATTTGTATAAATCCCATTGCATGCGTTATACTATTTTAATCTATTTGAGTGTGACATTTCTGTTGATAATTAGATATTTCCTTAAACTCGGTTTGCAGCCTGAACCCAAAGAGACCAGGAGATTACAAAGAAGCATTCAATGTATATTATACCACTGATAGGAAATGGCCTGACGAACACGTCCCAAAGTTTTCTTCTAAAATGAGGAAATTTTGCGAGCTATGTCGGAAATTATCTTTGAGAATTATCAAAGTTTTAACCAAAGGAATGAAGATTAAAGTATGCCCTTATTTTTTTTTAGTTATTATTGATATTTGTATTGCAAGCTTACAATCCATTTAGGTTGGGACAGTGAATAGTAAAGCTAGTGTATTAATTGATGAGCAAAATAATTTAGGGATCAGTATCACCCTCTGTATAATTGTAGTTTTCATCTTGTTCCCATGACCAGAGAATTGTCATTGAGGCCTCCAACGTTTGAATTATTTGATCTTGGTTGGTTGAATCAATTCCTGGATAGATGACAAGTTGTGTCTTCAGTGTGATTGTGTATACTTTATAAAAACATACTTTTATGGGATATTAAATTACTTTTCGCCTTCTTCAGGATTCCAGCTATTTTGGCCTTAGCTGTTATAAAGTACCCATTACATTCATTCATACTTTCACTTATTCTGTCATTGTTTTTAGGACTCTGACTATCTGATGAAATGTCATTCCAGGATGAATGGAAAAGATAATTTCACAACATTGAGATTTCTTCATTATCCTCCCATTCCTGATGATGTTACACTGAAGCCTGGACAATTACGACTCGGTGAACATTGTGATTATGGATCATTTACGCTCTTATTTCAAGATAATGTGGGAGGCTTGCAGGTTCGAATAATAAATATAGGTGATCAATCATAGTATGACAAATATATATTGCCAGATATCTACTTATGGAAATATAGGATTAGTCAGTAGTACCCGAGTGACTATTGACCAACAAGACAATTGAAAAAGTAGCTATGGCTCATTTGCAATAAAACTTCGAGCTGAAGCAAGATTCATGAAACAGATTTACAATGCAATATTATCGTTTCAATGAGATCCTAAATTTCTAGATACTTATAATTGATCTTTGGCAGTTAAAAATATCAGTCCATGTTCCAACCCAACCCTTGTTGTAATTATTAATGTGGGCGGATGCAAATGTCAGATCAACCCATACAGACTAGCTATGATGAATGTATGAAACATGTCTTATTATAGGTTGAAGGTTATGACGGGAAGTTTATAGAAGCGGTTCCAATTCCAGACACAGTTCTTGTTAATATCGGGGATGTTTTGCAATTTTGGACAGAAGGAAGACTCAAATCAACCGTGAGTTCTGATGGCCGATGCTTTTTTGATTTAAACTCATTCTCAAATCTCAAAAAAATTAGCGTATTTGAATGTTGATTTTCTTTTTCGATTATCATATGTTATTTATTCTTATTCGTGTAATTCAAAAACTGCATTTTGCTCAATATATTGCTGGAATTGGTATTTGTGTCGTAACTGCAAATATTTTTATTATTGATATTCCATAGACCTGGTAATTATTACTTTAAAAATTATGTTTACAACTTGTTTAAATTGGGATCTTTCTTGAATAATTAATTATGATTTTTGATCAATTACTTTTGATATTTTACTTGACTCTGTATAGGAATAGGTCCGAAATAGTTGAACAGAGACAAAAATTGTTTTAAAAAGCTGTCTTCGTTCCCCCTTTTCTTTTCTGTAAATGTCAGAAACACAGAGTGATGGTACCAGATATCCAGTCTGCCAGGAATGTACAGAGAAAATCTTTTGGATATTTTGTTCATCCAGATCATGAAGTTGTTTTATCAGGAATTGAATATGGAGCTTCATGTCTGGATCATCATGAAAGAATTGAACCTGAATATGAAGAACCTGTTACAGCATTTGGACATACTAATAATAGATTTCAAAGCAGTTACATCAATTGAGAACCTTTTATTATTTGCAAACTAAAGTGATGAAAGTGCTCTCAGACAATTCTATTACATCTAATCAAGATATTAAATAATTTGAAGATTGCAGATTCTCCAACTAATTTGAAGTCTTAAGGCCTTTTCTGTTTGTGACTAGGGTTGATCCATTTTTTAAATCATTAGAGTAATACTTACCTGCTTCCAGTTGGGGTCTAGGTCAGGGCTACTCAACTATTTTTATCTAAGGTCCGCATACAAAACTTCAAAATTATTTGGGTCCAGTATTTTCAGAAATTATATTTCCGCATCGTTGAACGCGCACCTTCTCGGCTGGCTAATGATTAGTAGCTAATAAAAATGTCTTCATCATGGGGTTATAGTTCTTTTCATATATATTCAAAACTATGAAAGTGTTTTTATGAAAAGAAACTGCAAAAGCGGGGCTAATGATTCAAAATAAAGAATTAGTTGCGGTCCGAATCAAATACTCGAAAGGTCCGGACAAGGACCGCGGTCCGCCAGTTGAGTAGCCCTGGCCTAGGTCCTTGTTTAATAGAGCCAGGTCGTTAGATTTTACAAATTTCTTGGGAGTTAAATTTTAATGTCTGTGAGTATGTCCTCGTCATTTGAATGATTGTATAGTTTTATTTTCTTGCCTTCTTTGCCCTTTGGTGAGATTTTCGATTTATTTGTTGTTCTGTCTATGGCATTTTTGTATCAGTGTTTTGTAATGTAGAAACCAAGGCTGGGAAGGGAGCTTGAGCGACCAGAAATTTCGGTGGCTATAGTTCCTAACCATCTGAATATTTTTTGATATTTCTTATTTTCTGACACCTAAAAAGAATAAAATTAAAGTAAATTTTGCTAAGCCCATATTTTCGTTTCAATTCTAATATTTTAATAAAGAAGTTTTGAGTTACATTTACAGTTTAATTTCCAAATATGAAATCGTTGTTTCACTTTTGAAAAAGTTGTTCGTGACTGTTTCTTATTTGTGTTCAAGCTTAAAAACCTCGATGGTTGTGGAGTCAGAGCTGGAGCTTTATTTCGACATAAAAAAATTGAAGCTCTTCAGATAAAGCTACAGTTAAAATTTCCTGCGGCTCTGTAACTGGAACCACCATGATTTTGAACCAGCTCTCCAGCTCTGGTAGAAACTATTTATCACACTTATATATTGCCTGCTACGTTGCTCAATATTGTTCAATGTGCAATTTGATTGTTCAATCATTAGCCATTATCTGTTGCACTTTTATGTTCTGCAATAACAGAATAAAGAGAAAGAATCCGGATGAGTATACTTTGTCATGTTATTTTGACATGTTTCAAGTTAAATTTTAGCAAGTAACTAATTATTTTGACTGCACGCTACAAGTTGAATCGATTTATAATTATTTTTCTTCGTATCGATTTGCACTATATTGCCCTTCAATTCATACAGTGATGGCAGAAGCGTTGTGAAACTATTGTCAAACTCAAATATACATATTGTCGTTTGTCAAAAACTAAATCAGAAAAAATTATTGTAATTACGAGGTGCGGCTAAAATGAAACGGGACTGACGTCACAGATTGCGCAACACGATTAACCATCCGTAATCAACACTTTTGCAGTGTGGCGTAATATGTGTTCTTTGTTTAACAGCTGTTTTGACACAATATCGCAATTATTTTTGCTTTTCAGGATTCATAAGTGAATGTGATAAATTTCTTGTTGAAAAAAAAATGCTGTGCGAGGTCTGATTGAGTTTTTTGGGGTTCAATTAAAGAATGACGACTGAGCAAAGAATTAACGTTAAATTTTGTGTCAAACTTGGAAAAATGCATGTCAACTCGGCATGCATTCAATCGTTGAGTTTTCTGCTCCTCAGTCAACTTAAGAGCCTTTGGCATCATTTTGGCACACACCTTTCGCATTCCCAAAGTGTCAACCAAAATGGTGCGGACCGTTTCTTTGTGCATCCCAATTTCGTTGGCAATGGCGCGAATTGTTAAGCGACGGTCACTGCGAACCAACTGCCAAACCTTTTCGATGTTGGTATCAGTAGTGAAAGTGCAAGGCCTCCCTGACCTCGGATCATCCTCCACATCCTCCCTGCCTTCCACAAATCGCTTGTGCCATTCAAAAACTCTTGTTCTGGACATGAAAGAATCTCCATAAACATCAGTCTCAGTCGCCGTTTTTCCAAGTTTGACACAATATTCAATGTTAATTCTTTGCTCAGTCGTCATTCTTTAATTGAACCCCCTATCGCCAAAAAACTCAATCAGACCTCGCACAGCATTTTTTTTCAACAAGAAATTTATCACATTCACTTATGGATCCTGAAAAGCAAAAATAATTGCGATTTTGTGTCAAAACAGCTGTTAAACAAAGAACACATATTACGCCACACTGCAAAAGTGTTGATTACCGATGGTTAATCGTGTTGCGCAATCTGTGACGTCAGTCCCGTTTCTTTTTTAGCCTTACCTCGTACGTTGTTTATCTAATTCGAAACACAGAGGAATAATAATGGTTTGTGAGTATTATGTCTAGAACATTTTCACTTGCTTTCCACGTGGTAAAAAAACTTAGACACTTAATATTTGATCTTGTATATTATTAGGTATTGTTAGGTAACTTGGGACCTCCTTGGAACCAATGTAATTATTTTTTACAGATCGATTTTTCACCGGGCATCAGAATAACTGTCACAGTCGAAATACGGTTCTCCGCTGCATATTTATTTGTGATCTCGTACTCCAGAAACTGTAGAACTTGCAAAAACTGATTAGACTCTTATAAGGTCTAATTCCAACACTCTGAAAATTTTAGAAACTGTGATCAGTGCAGTTTCTGACTGATTTTAAGACTCTTGGCCCGACTATCAACGCGTCAACTGTGAAACTTGATATGAACAGACTTTAACAGCGACTTAGAAATAATTTGTAATAAAATATCTTGCCACAAGTGTCAGACTGTGATATATGCTTCATCGTGCGTAAATGATCGCATTGATGGGCTGCTCAGGCATGCACTTATTCTGAAGAAACCGCTGGCTTCAAAAATCTCATTTGTTAACAATATTTTGTGAAATTTAACTTAATATATTTTGAATCTGTTACATTGGCTAATTTTAAGACAAAGTGCACGTTGATCCTGCTTCCCATTTTAAAAAGAAAATGTTCCAAAAGCCTCGGCTGTATAGTCTAAATATAGTAATTTAACTCTATACGTTTACATCCGTACAATCCGATCAGGTTTTTCTTCTTACATCTCCGCATTAATTACCGTTTTGTGTGATAAATTTACATATCCCGAATGGATATATATAACTTTTTGGTATTCTATGCTGACTCTTGTTAGAAGATTTATATTTTTGTCAAATAGTTGATATGACTATTAAAATACTTTGGCGGGCCGCCCCCGGTCTTGTAGTTAGTTCATCCATTGGAAAGCCTATTCCCGGGAAAACATGCATCGAAACCTAGAATATTTCTAACACCAATCACCTGCTCATTAAATTATGGTTCCTTTGTCCCTTTAAAAAAATAACATCAATTTAGAGCAGAATACATAAAGGGCTTTCACGGAACACTTGTTGAAAATCACTAGTCTATAGTGTATTCTTATTGGACACGTAGTGGACATAACGATCGTTTCAATATTATGTTGTTGTTGTTCTTGTTGTTCTTGTCTTTGACACGTTTTTAAAAAGTCGCCTTTCTCTTCGAATACTGGACCAATTGCTTTGAAATTTTCAGTGGTTAAAGATTAATTTTTTCGCTAGAAGGCTATTACTTTTGTTTATTCTTAAATTTTATATGAATCCTATGAGATATGATATTTCATACAAAATTTCGCGGTATTTATTTTTACTCATGGGAACACTGTTTTACACTTATTTCAAGCGGTTTCGCGATCGATTGTCTTGCTCAGTACTACAGCTACTGTAGGTCGGTACTGGTAAGTTGCCATACAGGTACCGTAACGCAGTGAAATTGACTTATTCCTTCCGCGGTATTACTAATGCTGCAATGCAAGTTTTATAGCCTATCGTATGCGGAACGGAATATCAGACCTACAGGTTCGGTACCGGTACTGGTAGCTCAGTACGTAAGTACGATACTGGTACTGGTGCCGGTACCGGTGTCTTACCACAATGAAATTACCGTAACTTATTCTTTCACGGTCCTACCAGTGCAGTAATGCAAGCGTTGTAGCATTTGTAGCCTACTATATTTGTTTATTTTGATGAGAGTCTACTGGAAACAACATAAAATTTGAAAGGGAAGAATTGTTCTGTGATCAATTATCTGTCCTAAAGTGTAAACAACATAAAATTTGCAAGGGAACAACTGTTCTGTGATCAATTACCGTATATGGCCTACAGTGTACAGGTAAGATGCTGGCTGACTGCTAACCGGTACTGGTAGCTCAGTACGTACAGACGTAAGTACGATACTGGTACTGGTGCCGGTACCGGTGTCTTACCACAATGAAATTACCGTAACTTATTCTTTCACGGTCCTACCAGTGCAGTAATGCAAGCGTTGTAGCACTTGTAGCCTACTATATTTGTTTATTTTGATGAGAGTCTACTGGAAACAACATAAAATTTGAAAGGGAAGAATTGTTCTGTGATCAATTATCTGTCCTAAAGTGTAAACAACATAAAATTTGCAAGGGAACAACTGTTCTGTGATCAATTACCGTATATGGCCTACAGTGTACAGGTAAGATGCTGCCTGACTGCTAACTCAGTACCGCTTGACACGTTTTTAAAAGTCGCTTTTCTCTTCGAATACTGGACCAATTGCTTTGAAATTTTTAGTGGTTAAAGATAAAAATTTTCTCCAGAAGGCTATTACTTTTTTTTTCGCTATGACGTCATCAAAATTATGTGACTCTACGTGTCCATATATTTGAGCATAGCTCTCTTGTTTTTTTGTATCATGAGTTGATAAATTGAGTTTAAAATGAGTTATTCAATAATTAAAAGTATATTTACGCCGACAGTTAAGAGCAGGGGCTGGCAAGGTTTTTGAAACAGGGGCCAACAATTTTGCTCGCCTAGACTGGCGGGCCACATGGCCCATAAAATTGTGTGACGTGAAAAGTTTACATTTTATGAACAATATATACACCTCCACCTCCTATTTATATTTTTACAAATTCCGTGAGATACCTGAATTAGCTAAAACATCAAAATTTGGTTTTCGTTTGGTGGTGGCAGCATCGGCCGGGCCAGATTAAATTACCCGACGGGTCGGATTTGGCCCATGTTAGGTCTAGAGCTTTATTAATTAAGAAGTTGAAGTTGGTGGTTTACTAAATGGTGATGCGTCTTGTCTTGCGTGTGTGTTGAATTCATTGCGGTCACTATAACTTCGACACATCATTGATCTCCTTCATATGACTTCACAATATCGTGATTTGCCAGCTGCTGCATGTCCGCAAATACCATGATATATGAAAAATTTAGTAATTACGTAATGAACGTTACAAACGTGGAAACCCGATACAATCATGTAACTCGTTTCTTTGTTTTCTGTCCGAATGATGATCGCAAGTGGGTTAAGTAAACGTTATACATAGTAACTATAATTTCTCTTTTATTTTTCCGAGTAAGGGTATGAATCATTTTTAAACATCAACGGAGGTATTAGAGTTTTGTACGTATGTAGGCCGAATCAAAAAACACACAGTTGAAGCTTCGCTCAGTAAAAATTTGATATGGAAATACCATTGGTAGATTTCAGCGGTTGTGGTTTAGAAGTTGATCTTGTTTCAAAGGAGATGATGGAATCAGTTGGAAACGAAATATACAAAGCATTTTCCGAAGTTGGATTTGTTTATCTCGTGCATTGTGGCGTACCAAGGTGAAAAAAACTATTCTGGTCCTTCGATGAAGCATTTTACAGTGTAATGTGGTTGTCAATATCTGAACTATTGGTATATATGTATACGTCTGCTTGCAACCTATTTGGGTTCTAATATTTCAATTTTTATATAATTTTGTGCGGTGAATACAATTATAATTTCCGTATAATTTTCTTCAGTAACTTATATGGTACACCATGATATCATTGTCATCATAGTTAAAATAACTTTAACTTAAATTCATCATTTTTAATAAGAATTTCGGGTGAATATGAGCAGTGTATATAGTATTGTAAAGTTATGGTTTGCTGATTGACTGTTTTAGGACACGTTGACCGATTTCGACGAATTCTTATGTTATTGTATCGAGTGGTAACAGACTCTAATGACCACTGCCGGTCGTATATATATATAACATCCGGTCATTTACTGAAAATTTATTTTTATTTTATATACATGTACCGTGCGTGTATTGTGTTTCCGTTTAGATAAACTCCCCCGCACTCTATCATATGTGAGATAGGATTTTCTAGTCGCTACCGTATTTTCCCAAAAATAGGACCTAGCCTGAATTTTGAAAATGATCTTACTGTAACCCCCTCAAAAACGTGTTATAGGTAAATGAATATCGGTTTTCATATTTTGTATATTTGAAAATCTTGTAATCCTCCACTTTGTAATTTTGATAAATGATAAGAAAAGACCAGCCCCCCCCCAAAAAAAATAATCCCTGGTGTTATTTTTCGAATTGAATTAAGATCCTGTCTTATTTTCGGGAAACACGGTACGTTGTGAATAGCCCAGAATAGTTTTTTTGGTTGATTTTGATTTTCAAAAGGTAAGTAAAGACCTGAACTTCAAAGATGACGATTTTTAATTTTTTTTTTCGATGTTCTATATTTTTGCAATATTTTCAAGACAAAATAACAGTCATTCGAAATAAAAAGTTTTTAAAATATTACCGTCAAATATAAAACGATTTTAATTGTACTTACTGTTTAGGGATGAGAGTCATTTTTAGCGAATTAAATCGCTGTACATATGGATCTTTCTTTATAAATCCTGCTGTTGAATTTTTAAAATGTCAAGTCAAGTTTATTTTATCGAAGTAAAAATTCAATCACATACGTCATACACTATTCGAGGAAAAATATAATCATGCAATTCTACTGGGAAAGGGAAGCCGCGGGAAACCAAAGCTGATTATCAAGCAGCGACGCCCAAGGTCCTATTATCAGATTAAAAAGATAGGGAATTTTATTCACTGAACTACTGTTACTTCTGTGAGTAACGTAAGGTATTGCCGATTATCTAACTAACATCTCTTGCCAGGGATAGATATTTTTAGACATTTCAAAGAGCCATCAGACTACAGATAGAGGAAGTATTCCATTTTGATTTGAATGATCAAACTGTGACGGATGCAAGTAATCTTACGAGAATCTCTGATTCGCTCATTTTTGTTTCAGTGAATTGGTAGATGACGTCATGAAAGTATCAAATCATTTTTTCCTAATGAGTTCTGATGCAAAACGAAAATATAAATTCGATGAAAATTATAGCGGATATCATGAATTTTTGAAAGAAGGGTAAGCTTAGATAGAATTGTGAATTACAATGACTGCATGAACATGTTATTACAAGCACTGTACGCACAATTCGATATCAGTGGTTATTAAACTTGGGCCGCGCCGCCATTTTAGAATTTGTCTAGTCTCACAGAGAGCTGGTGCGATGAATGACATTTTATCGATGATTAAATTAATGTTAATAATAGAGTGTAGCAAACACAGAATCCATTTATTGAAACATATTTTAAAACTAGAACAAATCCGCAACGACCAAAGGATATCAAAGAATCTTATCAGGTTGGTGGAATGGCGCTCGATTCCGGACAAATATCATGGCCAGATGTCGAAGTGCCAGGATTCTCGACTAATTTGATGAAATTGTTTGAGGAATGCAAGAAACTTTCAATGCGAATACTCGAGGTTCTCGCAACAGGAATGAAAATTAAAGTAAGTCAAATTTACGAATGTTGGTAATTTTAGATTTAGAAACTAAACTAGCCATGTATCCGTCGATGATTTGAAGCTGAAGTATTCGTCTTTCCGTTTCAATCTTTCAATCGTTTTAACCATTTCAATGTATGTTAAATCTTTAACATGTTTTTTGCGACCCGTATAAAGTCACTGCATTTACCTTTTAGGACAAAGAATACTTTCTCCAATGCCATTCACGAATAGGAAAAGAACGCAACTACACAACATTAAGATCATTATATTATCCACCAGTTCCTGAGAATGCAGATGTAAAATCAAACCAGATTCGTCTTGGAGAACATTCGGATTTTGGAACAATGACATTGCTATTCCAAGACGATATTGGAGGACTAGAGGTTGGAAAATAGTTTTCGTTGTGAAATAGTTTTAACCCGAGAGGAATTTCTCTCCAGGGAGGAATATGGTCGTTCTTGGGGAGGGATATTTTTTTTGTATATTTTTCCGTGTTTTTATTATTACTGTAATACTTAATTATGCACACAATATAACCTGCTTGAACTGCACAAAAGCGGAAGTTTGATTTCCCATAACACTGGCTAAGGATCCATTACAGACTGAATAAATAAACTAGTTCTTACCCATAGTGAAGAAGTTGCATTACATTTGTATTATATTTCCAGTTTTAAGTTTTTATATATTAAGATTAATTAAGTGATATTTTATGACTCGAAAAATATGGATTGTTGATATTGTCCGGATCTATAGCATCGGTCTGTATTCAAAAAGCCTGAAAATTATTCTTTTTCTTATTACAACTTTGTAGTACATCACAAGTGCAGTGTATCAAAAATACAATGTATTGTATCATATTTTGTTATAAATATATCTTATCCCTGAACTTGTTCGTACTTCTTAGAAACTTCTTAAACTAAACAATGTATTTTGTTACTCATTCTACTTGCGTTAGGGCTATGATTATGGGTTTAAAGCCATATATGTGTTAAGAAACTTACTCTCACTCTTGACTAAGTTGTTTCAGAATTGTAAGCGGATATTCTGATTACTGAATTAGCCAATGTGATAAACAGTTTATCATAGGCGTGTTTTTCGTTTGATAAAACTAGTGACTCGGGATCGGATCGTATTCTAAAATCCACCATTTTCACCGTTTTCAAATCCATGAACCAACCCGAAACCGGTACGAAGTAATTTGAAACGCTTGATGTAGAGTGTAATTTTGCCTATGGATCCTTCAAACGTTGGCATATTTGTTGACTTAATCTTCTTATCCACCCTACTCCTCGTACGATACGTGTACAACATATATCTGCTATTTCTTGGGGTGAAATAAAATAAAATAAAAAAATATTGTAAAAAATATGCCACAAAATATTCAAGACAAAAAAATTCTAGAGAAAAGACATTTTCAACATGTGAATTTTTCCAAGGTCGAAACATACAACGGAGAATACATTGAGGCAAAACCAATTCCAGGAACAGTTCTTGTAAACATAGGCGATTTGCTGCAGTTTTGGACAAACGGAAGATTGAAGTCAACGGTTTGGTTATTTTTGTAGATAATTGATATTGAGTTTTTAATATTGAGCCCAGGTGCATTGAAACTCTACTCTCTTAAACAACTTTAAAGCTCTGATCTAGCGTAATTTCTTGGGCAAATCTGGCTCAAATCCTAAAACACGAGTCAAATCAAACAGCTTTGAAAAAAGCCCACAATTACAATAGCTTTACTATGTTGACCTTTGGCCTTTTGTAATTATCACCTAACAATTTTTGTTACCCGCAACTTCCCTTCTCCAGTAAAACTGTCGTGATTATCTTTTTTTTTTTGAAATTCATATACGATTCAATTTGACTAGTTGGAAAGACAGATAATTAGGAATGGACTTTGATGATTGATTAATCGGAAAGTCTGTATAAATAGGTCGGTCAAACTTATAATTTTGAGGTGATTATTGTCGCCTATATTATATGATATAGTTCTCTCTGATTTGGTGTCTTGCATCTCCATGATTGATGACAAATATTTTTACATACATTTCAGAAACATCGGATCATGATACCCACTGAAGAATCGAAACGCAAAAGGCATCGACAATCGTTAGCTTATTTCGTTCATCCAAATTATGAAGTCAAGCTGACTGAAATTGAGTACGAAGCTTCAGGATCACAATTTACGAATTATTCAAAACATTTTACATCAGACTATGATCGCAACGTTACAGCCGTAGAGTATACTGAAGCCCGTTACAAAAATACGTATCGCTAACTGACCAAAGCTATGGTATCCCAAAATGGCAATGGTATTCCCTTTAGAATCAAGTCATGGCTATTAAAGACCTATGGCCATTGCATATTTCATTTTATGGAACTACTTATGAATAATAACAGGCTGGGGGAATTTTAACAATAGGTTTCAGCTTCCCGGATGCGAGTACGGAAGTTTTTATCATAAATAAATGAGGAGGGATCGCTAATTTTATGTTTTTCTAAAAATTTACCAATAATGCAAACTTGGGCCAAGGCGTTACATCCTGAGGTATTGCGAAGTGTTGTGTCTTTTATTATGTTGAGTGCAATTGTCTAAGTCTAAGCTTTGCTAGAAATGAGCCTTTAAAGCAAATAGGCTTGGTGTGTTGTGCTACCCTTTATGAATACCCTTGTGTTTTCATTGCCCCATTCGGGAACGATGGATTGGAATGTAATTTTATAACCTGATCTAGGATTTTCAAATCGGAGAAGATACCGTAATTTGCTTTGGGAAATGTCGGCACTCCTGTTACCTGGAATAAATGGATTGGGAAATTGATGTCAATTCTATGTTAGTATGAAACAGACCAGAATTTTTCAATCTAGCGCACAGTCGTTTAGGTCGAGGAAGCCCTAAATGTTGCCTCTGGCTTGCTTACAATGTTAATAAAATAGTCATATATATATAGTGTTTTTTGGAATGCACAGTTTTGCCAATTTTTGGCACAACATATCAACTGGTAGTTAAAAATCCCATGCCAACCAGAAATAAAGACGCAAGTTAACGCAAGTCATATTTTCACTGAGGCTGTCCCAAAACCAAAGCCGGCGGAATCGACAAGAGTAATTTCATTGCAACCAGATAATACGTACGGATGCTATCAGTAGCAACCGATTGCATTCAGTGAGCTGTATAGTAATTGATTTTTTCTGTACTGTTTGTTAGGTTGAGGAGTATTGATATATTTCCTACCAGTCCACCAGTAATGGGGATGACACGGAATAGACGGCTTCCTGAATAGGTTTTTACAGAAAGTTTTTCCGCCTACAGATGTAAAGTTCCAAATTAAGGCCCACAGTTATAGACGAAATCCAAGTTACATTTACCTAGTTGTAGATACCGGATCTACAAATTTCTTGGTCCCAATCAAAAGTCATTTTAAAACAATGGTTCCATAATTAACGCATTGTACCCAGAATGATAGGTCATCTAATTGCCTGTTTTATAGCTTTCGTTTCGTATTTTACTGTAGGTTTTGGCTCAAATTAGAACTCGTTGTATAAGTCAACATGCGCGTTAATGCTCAATTACTAACTAGAGTAAGTTGAACAAACTACAATTTCCCACGGCGTTGAGCAAATAGGCGTCTTTCAGCGGCCCTAATAATACGATTATTTTAGTGAATTGATACACTATTACGCTACGAGTCGAAGTCGCTAGACTTGGTTGAACTCGCTAACGATTCTACAACACGATGGCGTAGACCGAACGATAAAAATATTTACTCAGCAAATGTTGGGAAACTAAACTCTTGATCAAAATCGCATGTGACGCCATCAGAGGTAAATATTTGTCTGTTTTGAAAGTGATGTCAATAATTTCCGATGATCGGCAACCATATTTTAATAAAACGATTATTTTTCATTAAACAATTAAGAAAGGAGGAATATCTCGCCGGGTGAGAACAGAATGGCTCTGAGTCGCATTTTTTTAAAATTTCACTTTTTTCAATAATTTGGAGTTTTGAGCCATGCTCTACATTCTACAAGATGGTGGTTTTGAAATCCTGAATTTCTCAATAATAAAAATTTTAGCTGGACTTAGGACTATAATATTTCGTTGAGTTAAGAACAGAATAGGTCTAGGTTCCAATATGATGGACATGGACATCCGAAATAAAATGTCCGAAACTTACATCACTAAGAATAAGTTCAGTGCAACTTAGGCCTAAGTCACCTTGTTTTACCTTGCATCCCATACAAAAAAATTCAGAAGTTGTTGAAAACAGAATGGGCCAAAGTCCTTTATGGGTGTAAAAAAACAGAAAGGAAGTGCTAAAAAATATTTGTTATAAAAATATTCTCATTCACATTAAAACAACCAAAGCTCGGGTCTTTACTAAGTGTGAATATCTAAAAATTCAAAAATAACGAAATTTAAAATTGTTTTTTTTTTCGAAACTCAAAATTGTGACTTAGGCCTGTTCTGTTCTCATCCGGCGATATGCTCCATTTTCTGAAAACATCTGATGTGTGACCCGGACATCACTCTTAACTTTATTTCATATTTGTTTTGTTTCATAAAATATTTTGGTACAACAAACCCGACCCCGAAATCCGACTTATGCATACAAAATTCATATAAATTAAAAACCCTTCAAGTATAGTGTCTGAAGTTTGTAAATATATATATATAAACACTGCTTTAAAATAGGTGTATATTATTTCCCAACTCCAGTATTTCATTTCAATATGGCAATATTAAATTGATTATATGCATTGAGTGATAATTTTATACGCGCTCACCAACTGACGATCCCCGGCTGTCACTAAATTCGAGTTAATGAAATTAATATTTTATAATTGCGGGAACATATGCTAGGTATTAAAATGCGTACGTAAAATTATATATATAGATAGTAAAAATTTAGTAAAATTGACCGGCAATATAACAAGATGTCCTGATAGCTTTACTTGTATTTTGGGAAAAATTTAGTTACGGCCGAAACTTTCGATAGTATCCGACTTCTTACGGGCTATCTTGAAGAAATTAACAATGGGGATGCTTGGCCAATCTCTAGCGTACGTTAGACAAAATGTTATGGCCTGATCACGTACTTGACATAAACTGTTATTGTTTTGGGAGATTAGAACGCTTTGCGGACATAATTTAGAAACAGCGGTGTGCGTGTGACCTATGGCAATTAAATTACGTAACATAAGAATTACAAACTGGCAGAACACGCGCCTCGGGATAGATATTATATAAACTATAAAAAAAAGTTACGCAACTTTATACCAATTACGTAATATTATGTAATTCTAAAACTGCGCGGCCAATTTCCAATTTCAACCAACTGAAATAATAACTTACATAATATTGAAAATGTTTTACTTTATGAAAAACGCAGTTTGTTTTGGCGAGTTAGCGGTAATGTTGCCTTGAAAATATTTTTCTTGCATAATTTGAATTTAGCTATTGCACAAAATATACGTAGCAAAGCAAAACTATCACCGTTCCGCATAAATAATATTTCCATGCTTAAACCGAGCGACAAACAGCTTGCCATAGCGTATATGACGTGACTAAATACCACGAATCCTAAATGTGTCAACAATTGCATAATCCTTCAAACAACCAAGGAATCAATAGTTTTGAAGTCACATGGCGGAAGGATGCATCAGTCATTGTTTTCGCATGGCGCCCATTTATACCAGACAAACAAATTCTATAATAATATATAGTTTGCTGCATTTACCATACAATAATATTTTGCTGGTAGCGATTGCGAGGCAAAGATCACCTTGCAAAACACCCTAGCGTGATACCATGTCTGTGGTAATATTTCATGCAACTGTATATGATGTTTTTTTTTAGTTTCTCGTATGTCCCTCCAACCTGGAATGATATTTTTCCACATATAATTTAAATTAACATATAAAATAAATTACGGATAACTGATTTAAATTTTGCAACATCATTGTCTTTTCCTCATCCCAATTATTTCCTATTTAACAAAACAATGCTGTATCTGCTGCAACATATATATTATACTATACTACTTCAACAAAAAGAAAGAACAGACACAATGAACTGAACTAATAACAAAAACTGAAGAAACGGTGAAATTTGAAAGCCGACCATAGCAGGGCAATAGGTTATACTACATTGCTGAATTGATGGAAAGTTTTTGAAGAGGCCAATGGTAACGAACCATGGATAAAGTGGGTGCATTTCGAAATTGCAGAATAAGACGCATATTTAATACACACTTGTTTCAATCGAAACCCAAAAAGGGAAAGGGCGTTGAGAAAGGGCGTTGATAAAGTTGTGTTTATGACTACCAAAATAGTACCATTTGAAATACTCGCAAAAAATATAAATAGAAGAAAAACAGTGTGCATTGACGTCTGAATGTGCAAAAAAAACTTTCATTTCTAAACATGATAACTACTACCGGTATGTACCAGAATGAATCCTTTGCTCAACTTTTACTCTTTGAAAAATTGATCAACCATAAACCAACAAGGGCGTATGGCGATACACATGAATTAATATCCTGGGTACTAACTATGCTCCATTGACCATGAAAGAAAAGAATGAATAAGACTGGAAGATTCAGACTTCAAAATTATATGACTACGATACTTTGTGTGTATTCAGAAGTATATAAAAATGCCAGTAAAATTTGTGTCCTGTTATTAACATCCGGTTTAGTAGAGAAATACATTGAAGAACTAATATGAAATAAAAAAATTATGATACCTATATATATTACAATTCCAGAAATAGTCATTTTTGAAATTAGAACTTTAAACTATCGACATGCAATGTAGTAACATGAGTTCAAACAATAGAAATTTGATGTTTCTACAGATTTTATCTTTAGCCTTATAGCCATACCATACTATATAAAATTTGTTACATATTGAAATTCTGCTGAAAAAATGGATGAAATAGTATAGCAGAAATAAAAATACTAGGAATGGCAGACCTTATTTTACATAACTTTAATAATAAGACTTCTAGTATTCTATTTAGCTAAATGTTTTTTCTGCATTGTGTATGAGTGGACATACCCATCATAACAAACATCAAATTAACGAAAATCCACATAAATAGAAATGCAAGACTGCGGTACAAGAAAAAGTTGACAAAACAATGTTGAAATTTGGAATGTTGAGATTCTGAATAAATATGGCATCCATCATAACAGATATCTTTGGTAATATAAATAAGGATTATAATCAATTCTGCATCAGTGATAAAGATAAGCAGTTGGTATCACACACAGACAAATCTCTTCCAATTAATTTTCAATTTTCTCATTATACCAAACAAAGATTGAAGTCGAATTTATGCAAAAACATTTATATTTCTAATTCCCTTTGTTTTAAAAGTACAATATTAGAATATCTGGTACGGTACTTCATAAAATTGATTGTTACATTTGATTTTTTTTTAGAACCCTAAATACATTTTAAATCTACAATTTAAGTAGCTACAATTATGATTTACAAAGCTTCACTGCATAATTAACAAAGTACATTGATCTAATTTTACATCTGATTATTTTTTGAACGTAAATAGCTTAATTATGATATACAAATCTATACTGCATTATTAACAAAGTATATTTCCTTTTTCCATAAACTTCCAGAGATCAAATCGGTTCATATTTAGTGATACTACTCTTCCAAAAGTTGATATTTCTTTACCCTTTTGTAAGATGTTGGAGCCGACAAACAGTAAACAGTGATTTTGGCGATAAGAGCAACAACCGAGAGACAAAGAAGAGTGATGGTGATTATGGTATTCTTCTTACTAACATCATGATTTCGAACGATGATTCCACTTAAGGCCCACAGGAGAACGAAGTACCATGCGTAAACATATCTGCAATATCGATACAGCTTTGTATTCTCCAGGATTGACCAAGCAATTATGACTATTCCAAGCGCGTACAAACAGAATGTTCCAGAATCTTCTTGAGAGTAATTACGTGGCACTTTAGGGTCATAGGTCAAGGCAACAGATATGCTTATAAGAGTAGCAAAAGTGCACCAGGAGAAATACAGGTCAATACCGTTTTGGATAAGCACACGAATGCAAATCAGATCACTTCTCGGGATGCGCCTTTCATTACTAGCGGTGGCACAGACATTAATACCCAGAGCAGAGAATCCAAAAACTGTTGTCACGACCAAACACAAAGCAGCAAACAGCATTTGTTCATCGAAGAAATAAAAATTCCACAAACTAATTGCAGCGCTTGATATTATCCAACAGATGTGAAATGAAACTGGCAATACCGATGGATTTGTAAGCACCATTCCTGCAAAAAATTATGAAATAGAAATTAGAAACATTAAAAGTGAAATGATTTTGCTATCTTCTGAATGCATTAAATGCAGCTCAAACAAGAACCCACATAATCAGTTCAGAGTTTTCAATCTAATAACAATAGGAATTTAATACCTACATTTACACTTTCAAAGGAAATAGTCAACCTTAGGAAAAGACAAGCTCTTCTTTGATAAACCATAATATATTTGCTATCACAGAGCATACAATGGATCGGATTTTCATATTCATCCCGGTGGGAGGAAAGTGGATAAGATGGCTTAATCCTATGATGAACCACGGACTGTTTTCGGAAGCATGGACTTCATGGTGGAGGAAACCATAACTGACCAGCGAATATGTGAACTATCCTACAGCAGCGAGGAGTCCAGCAATCCTCTCTCACATATCCATACCGCATAAGATTCGAACATGCGCACCCACGCAAGGTAATCAACGTACGAATCTTCCGATAAACTTTAATACATACTTCAAATTGAGACCAATATTACAACTCAAGATGATGGTATAACTACAATACTCACCATCTTTATTTCTCCTGCACATGCAACTCAATGCATAACCAATCCAGGCCAACTGAAAGAGAAAGATCAAACCCCAGATGGAGAAAGCATATTTTTCAGGGGTTATGTCAGTTGTATATTTGAGAGACAGATTTTCCATGCTGTTGTTGAAAATCCCATCTGAGAAAATTAGTAGAAAATTTAATTGAAGCCAGTCTAAACCAATAGAAAATGATTTGAAAAATCTTTGTCAATATTTTAGACAAAGCTGAACTAAAAGGTTTAATGACTAGATGTGCACAAACAGGCGGGCCAATAATTATACCACAATTACATACAATTAACAATTATAACAAAAAGAAAATTATCAGATTGTAGATTATATATAGGAGTCTAATCTAGATTACTATCGGTGGACGGTGATGTGATACCTCTTCATCAATATTACTTTTCCAAAAACTGAACTACAATTATTTCATTAGGTTTAACTGCATATGTAGTTTTGATAACTAAAAAATAGGCCAAAATATGTCAACAAACAAGCGTTAGACTCAAAAATTTAGCACTCACTATTTGGTATTGTTGTAAGGATTGAAATTCCAGTAGAAACAATGAACGCCAGGACAGACAGAATAGTAAAACCCACAACAGCTACAGTATTTGCTGCCATTGTATTTTCTCGACTCAACACCGGAACAAAAATCAAACAGAACCAAAACTTAGCACCTAAGGATTAGGCTATATTAGAAATCTAAATTGAATGAATAAACATAATTACAGAAAAGGAAATCAATCAAAAACAAAAATACTGTAGTTGCATTGATAAGTATAATACCACAGTTATGACAAAATCAATTCTAATAAATTCAAAAGATTGTAAACTTGAATCTCAAGACTGACATCACAAAATTGGAGTAATTGTGCCAAATGTAACACTGAGAAATTGTCTTCAATTATGATGGATTGTTGATAAAAGGATAACTGAAACCAAATAGATTACACAAAAAACATTTTTAAATCTGGAATATTCAATGCATCTCAAATCAAGGCATGTTGTAAGAATGATTTTAAACCGTATTTACTTTTATGGTTGATATTTACTATCAAAAAACTAAGAACTGTAATAAGCATTTTAAGGTTATAAAAATATTGAGTTATTGCCTTCCAAGAGACCAATTCATTACATTGAATATTCCATCTGTTTCAAAGACCCTTAAATTTACATCCCGCAATGATCAATAACTAAATAAACCATGAATAAAGAAAAACAAAAATGATCTTTAACTTGCATTGCATCATTATGATTACTATACTAGGTATATCTTTTATAGGAATAAGGCAAAAAATATGAGTTTGAATTGCATTCAATAACAAAGAAAAACAGTCCACTGGCTATAAAGATTTGTATCTATATTTAAACTTGAGAATCAATTTGCATTACCAATGACAAAAATTATGAAAAGGAAGAAAAAAAACTCAATCGTGTCCACTGTCCATGTTCCCAACGTCAATAAGTATCAGTCAACAAAAATTCATTTAGTATCAAACATCTGGTACTTTTCCACTTTCTTGTATGCAACACTTGGCCTGAGACAAAACACTGTAATCTTCGCAGCAAGGCAGACAACAGCAACACACAAAATCATGATGGTAATAATGGTGTTCTTCTGGCTTACATCTGGATTCTTGACAATCAGTGCACTCAAAGCCCAAATGAGAACAAAATACCATGCATAGACGTATTTGAACAAGCTGAAAAACTTGGTATTTTCCAGGACCGACCACAAAATGACAAGACTTCCAAGTATGTATAAGCAGATTGAGCCAGCGTCTTCTTGAGAGTAGTTTTTCGGAACATTAGGGTCGTAGGTCAAAGTCATAGCCAGGCCAATCAATGTTGCAACAGTTGTCCAGGAGAAAAACAAGTCAAGACCATTTTGAATCAGCACACGAATGCAAATCAAATCTGCAGGCGATTCTGTTTCAAGTTGCTTCTCATTATCTGTGGTAGCAATCGCGTTTATTGCAGAGCAAGCGTAGCCGAAGAGTGTTGTCATGAGGAGACACACAGCAGAAATCAGAATTTGTTCAGCCAAGAAATAGAAGGTCCACAATACAACAAAAACGCAAGTTCCGAGCCAAGCAACATGGAACTTGATTGGCAGAACAACTGGATTTGCCAATACGACTCCTAAAATATAAAAAAATTCAAATATTTACAACTGTAGTACCAGATAGGTTACATAAAATAAAGATAGGCTTATAAAATATAAGTATTACTAATTTGATCCAAAAGCATCACAAACATATAAATCGTCAAATCAATCTTATAGGCTATAGATTATGTAAGACATGATATTAGTAGATTATAATTGATAAGACGCAAATTTTTTAATTGCTACTCTTAATCTTTGCAGATAGATCAAACCTGTAATTTTTATACTCCGACTTCAAATCTGACCTATGCTTTAAAAACCTATACACCGAAGCAGGATGGAAAAATGATTCTAATTGAAAAATTAATAATTTCACTTTTAATTTTGAAATCGGATATGAGAGAATGCTCAATGAAAAAATGAGTGTTACCAAACAATTAATAATTTTTTTTTTAATTTAGGAATCGGATATATGGAAACCGGATATTTAATATGGTTATATTAGGCCATTCTATTCCCAATTTTCTACTGATAATTTGTGCTCTTGTGTTATTGCTTCCGGTCAACGTTTCCCAACATAAGAGAAATTTGCGTTTGTATTCGTTGTAGTATTACTGATATTCTTTAGTTTTTTAATATCACTAGTTATTCACTACAATGCTTATTCATTCTTATACAGATAATAAACTACTTATTCATAGGGAGGGAGAAAAAAGGTGTTCTAAAATATGCAAAGGGAGGAGTTTCACAAAGAGATTGGGAACCATTACTTTAGGTGAACAACTCAAAATAAACAAAATATATATCAAGTCTTACCACTTTTGTTAGATCTGCACATGCAACTGTAAGCATAACTGAGCCAAGCTATCTGGAATAGGTAGATCAAACCCCAGATAGAGAATGCGTAGTCTGCTGGTGTAACATCGGTTGGATACTTGGCAGAAACAGATCCAATCGTATTGTTGAAAAAGCCATCTAAATACAGAAATAGTAACCAAGATAAATAATGTAAATTATAGTATAAAAACAGATTCTAAATAATGCACCAATGTGAGTATAATAGAATTAGATCACACAAGCTTTTTCAATTAGTCAGTAAGTGAAAAATGAAAATCATGAAAAATATATTGTTATATAACATCATTCAACTGTTGTAATGTAACTGCTGTATTGTTAATATCTCCATTACATCATTCAACTCCTCCAGAATCCCATTGATATAAGACCGATTACAGTAATCTAATCTTATTCATAGAAAAACCATGGCAGAGGAGCTAACAAATTAAAATCTAGCTCCATCAGTCCATTTCAATACAGCAATATGGCACAAACTACCTACTGGACACAGGGACTCCATCAGACGACTCAAAGACTAGTCCTCAGTACAGTCAGACTTTAGTGTCGGTACCCTGGTACCGTACCTACCGTATCTTGAATAGTCTATGATTTATTCTGGCAGTACGGTACCGACACTGCAATATTTTAATACAGTCAGACAGATAACAATAAAAATGGCGAGGGCACAATACATATTCGATTAATAACATTATTATGCTAAATTTGCGCAAAGTCTGATAGTGATACGGTACCCGTTCGATAAATAACACTTAAACAATGCCGCACTCTGACAGCATAAACAACTTACTGTTTGGAATGTTAGAAAGTGAAGGTACAACCAAACTTATAATAAATCCAACGGTTGAAAGTATCGTGAAGAATATCAGCACGCCCAAGTTGGAAGACATGGTGCCGCGAGAAACTTAAAACTCAGAATAAACAGTCTTGTTATAGACAAAGATCAAGATCCGACACGTACGTCAAATAGTAATCAACTGATCGTCAAAAGTGAAGAAAACAAAAATGCTGAAAAAAACTCCAGAAAAAATGGATGTTATGTAACAAAGTTTTTTCCACTAGGTGGCACTAAAATCCTACAGGCTAAAATAATCGTATTGTTTGAACTAGGGTTGGATTATCCGGATAGCGGTTAACCGGATAACCGATTAACCAAGAGGTATTTTGCTATCTGATAACCGGATATTATTGTAACTGTTAACCGGATAATAGAGCAGTATAAATAATGCATATGCGCATTAGTGATTTTTATATTTTTTGTTGAGTGGCCAATGACATCTCTCAGAGCATATAATATTCACTTATATCCACACCTCTCTGCATATTTTAGTCATCCGTGTAATGCTGGAGTGAACTTGACTATAGTATTACATCACAAAACACGCAGAAAAATGTGGTTATTGCGTATTTGCGGTATAGAAGAGCCCGACTTACCTTAAAATAAAAGCATTTCTACTCTAGATATGAAAATAAATGGTAAGCTGCACAAACAAATCCAATTTCCTATTTTTGCTATCTTGAAAATTCATCAAATTTGAACTATTATTGCAATTCCAATGAGTATAATTTATTTAGTACAATAAATGCAGATATTAATTAGCTTATAGTTATATATCAACATTTTCGGGAGAAAAGTCGGGTTCAGTTTCGTCGGTATATAACGCCGATAATTGTTTTATTTCGCCCGGAACTGAAATGGCCGCTGTATGTTATCTATCGTCGTATCTATCTATCGTTGAGAGAGTAGATCTGAAACACACATTTTTGACTAACAATAAGGAATTGAATGCTAACGAAAATACCACGACTCTTGATTTATGAGCCAGTGATAGATAAAACAAGACTCTATTTTAGGCGCTGTTGAATCGCCAAAATTTCGTAATAATCGTATTTACTGAATTTACAACAAGGGTAACTTTTCACGGGATGTAACTTCTTTTCAAATTAAAACTGGCATAATGCCGATGTTAATTCCCCAAATAATAACGCGATGCGGAAGAAAACGATCGGCGATGATAACACAATTAGCCTGTAAAATTCGACCGCCTTTATTAGTGACGTTTTCGAAAATTTCAAAATGAGGAGGAAAGGCTGTTATTACATTTATGGTTTTCATGGAACTTTCACAAACAAATTTGTTTGCAAAATGGTCTATAATATTTCAGACAAGTTTAATGTGACAGACTCTGTATCGTGTCATGTTTTTCGTTTACTCATTTAGGGTGGTAAGTAAAGTTGTTCAAAAACTGGCGCAGCATTGTTTTGGCTCTGTTAATTTAGTTTAAAAGGTATTCGAATGGAAATAGATTTAAAGTTGTGGCCTAATTAGTACAAACGTGAGAATATTTACAGTGACATGTTAAATAAGTGAAGTTTTCAAATTAGAATAAATTTCTGACCACTTCGGTTTTTTCACAATCATCAATTTGCTTTGTTATTAAAATTTTTGTTCAAATGACTTATATTTTCCTATACACTTCACGGAATTTGTTCCCCCTATATTCTATTTTTTGGATACTTCTCTCACCGAAATAAAATGTTCGAAATGCACGATTTTTTGTGTTCATGATTTCATTTATATGTATGCTCTTGTGGTATATATTAACAAAGTTTATTTCGTCGTGCAAGAAATCACCAAATATTATAGAAAACAAAATACTATACATGACAATATTAAATTTCGTTGTAATTGATAGGAAGGTGCGGATGATCAGAAATGATCATTGTGAGTCTGCGACACTAAAATTTAGTACGAGTCAAAATTTAAAGAAAAGAGGCTCTAGACACAAAAAGAAACTTTTAAAAAACTTTACAATAAAGTAGAAATAATATAAATCTTTACATATTATTTGAATAGGGAAAATAACTTAGCAGTTGGGGAAAAAAATTAGGACACAATATTTTCAAAAAATGTTTCATTTTATTATTCCGCTGTACATCGGTACGACTCATGAGCTTAAATTATTATTTATTGACACATGCAATATTAAAATGCACAATAATTCATATTCAAGTGTAGTGTTCATGGTTCGATGGTCATGAATTGCATGATTGATTTAGTCCTGCGCGATATAAATGCGCAAGGATACATGTCAAGGGGAGCAGAAGTACATTGACGGCGTGGCTGGTGCTGGTTCTATTGTATGGTGTTATTGGCTGTTTATTAAGTTGTATCAATTACTTTTGTGCATACTGAATTGTAGCAGTAAAAGCCTCTTATTTTGTGTGCAAATATCGTGTGTTGCCTTGGGGAAAGCTTAGCAAGATAAAGAACATTGAAGATAGAGGCGAGACACTACAACTGGCGACGAGGATATTGAATTACAATTGGCGAAGACCTGCTGGACTTGGACGATAAAGGAAATCGTTACCGAAATTGTTGGTAACTTTTTTGATTGAAACAGATCTATTCTATATAGCAGGAATATAGCCATCCAAGATCATGCAGAATAACATTGGAACGATGCAACCATTTGATTCCGATGGAGACCCGCACGGTATTTCCCAACGGTGGCAACGTTGGAGACGTTCATTTAAATTATATTTGACGGCCAAGGGAACGACGGCAGATAGCTCCAAGAAAGCTTTGCTTTTGTTCACCGCTGGTGTAAAGGTACAAGATATTTTTTATACTTTAGTGGGACTCGATGAAGAGAAAACATTTACCGAAACTTTAAATTTACTTGATGAATATTTCACTCCGAAATCCAATATTCCTTTTGAAAGACATTTATTCAGGCAAATTAAACAGACCAGTGATGAAACGGTCGATCAGTTTGTTTGTAGGTTACGTCAAAGAGCAACAACATGTGGCTTCGGTGATAAAGAAGATGATCACATACGGGACCAAGTGATTGATAATTGTCGGTCCAATTCCATGCGACGAAGATTTCTCGAAAAGGAAAATCTCGAATTAAGTGATTTGCTAAAAATTGCAAGGGCAATGGAAGCTGTTGATCATCAGGCAAAAGCAATTGAAGCTGACGCAGAATCGCACCAGGTGAATTTAGTAAATAATCCAAGCCGTTATACATCTGTTACAGGAAATGAAAGGGAATGTTACTCTTGTGGCCGATTCGGACATTTTTCCAGAGATAAGATTTGCCCAGCAAGAGGTAAACGATGCTCAAAATGCGGAAGAATGGGACATTTCAAAGTTCGATGTGGTAAATTTCGAGGTAAACCTGCACGGCAACAAGGACATAATGAGCGATGCCGAAACCAACCGAGAATAAATAAAAACGGTAAGCGGTTGAATGATACGAATTGTGTTGATTGTTCGAATGACGAAAATAGTGAGTTTACATTCACCGTGAGAGATCCAATTCCTACCATGATGGAATAATTACTTTAAATGTGGGAGGAGTTAATTTGTCGAATGTAATAATTGATTCGGGTGCTTGCCGAAATTTCATGGGAAGCAATACTTGGGAATGGCTGAAGAGTGAGAGAATTGTGTGTAATTCGAGAAAATGCTCGATACCATCACTCTACGCTTATGGAAGTACTAAACCACTACAGGTCTCAGGTACGTTTACTGCTAATGTTTTCGTTTTGAATAATGAAAGTAAATGTCGGACTGATTTTGTTGTTGTCAAAGGTAATTGTCAAACTTTGTTAGGAAAAGAAGCTGCAACAAAACTTAATGTATTAAGAGTGGGGCCCGTGAATGCAGTGAGTTCCAAAACTATTGATACTTCAAATTCTGATGTATTTTCCAAGTATGGAAAATTGTTTGAAGGAATTGGCCTTTTAAAAGATTACAAATTGACTTTGAATATTGACAAAACTGTTAAACCAATTGCTCAACCTCTGCGCCGTATACCATATGCGTTGCGAGACAAAGTAGATGCGAAAATAGATGAAATGCTGAAAGCAGACATAATCGAAAAAGCGCCTGAAGGTCCAAGTACCTGGATTTCGCCTTTAACTGTAGATCATAAAAAAGATGGAGATATTAGAATTTGTGTTGACATGCGCCGAGCTAACCAAGCCATACTCCGTGAAAGGCAACCTATACCGACTGTTGAAGACTTACTCCACGACTTGAGCGGAAGCGCCGTATTTTCGAAGTTAGATCTGAAATGGGGGTTTCAACAAATATTGCTTGATGAGAAATGCCGATATATCACAACGTTCGTAACTAATAATGGAATTTTTAGATACAAAAGACTTATGTTTGGTTTATCATCTGCACCAGAAAAGTATCAGCAAATAATCAGAGACGTTGTGAGGAACTGTCGGGGTGTCGCAAACATAGCGGACGATATCATTATCCATGGGCGGAATGTGAAGGAACATGATGAAAGATTATTTGATGTTCTTGATAAGTTGGACAAAGCCGGTCTAACGCTGAATGGTATGAAATGTTAATTTCGACTTCCTGAGGTCAAGTTTTTTGGTCATAAGCTCACAAGTCAAGGTATTGATCCTTGTGAGGAAAAGGTGGCGGCAGTAAGAAATGCACGACGACCAAAAGATGCCAGAGAAGTAAAATCTTTTATGGGTCTTGTTCAATATTGTGCAAAGTTTATACCAAACCTTTCTCCGATTGCAGCGCCTTTACGTGCATTGACTAAGAAAAATTCTAAATTTGATTGGGATAAGCAGTGTGAAAATTCATTCGAAAGATTGAAACGTTCATTAACTAATGCAAACACATTGGCTTATTTCAGATCTGACTGCAGGACAAGAATAATTGCAGATGCTTCACCGACAGGACTAGGATCCGCTTTAACCCAATTGCAAGACGGAATTTGGAGAGTAATTTCGTATGCTTCGAGGACAATGTCAGACGTAGAAAGACGATATAGCCAGACTGAAAAGGAAGCTTTGGCTATAGTGTGGGCATGTGAGAGATTTAACTTGTATATTTTTGGCAGAAAATTTGAACTTGAAACCGATCACAAACCTTTGGAATGCATATACTCTAAAACTTCAAAACCCTCAGCAAGGATTGAACGATGGGTATTGCGATTGCAAGCGTATGACTTCAAGGTAATATACCGACCGGGTAAGAATAATATTGCTGATGTATTATCTCGTCTTAATGCGCCTGGCCAGCGTGATACAACAGCGGAATATGATTTCTTCATACGAATGGTTGTGCAAAGTAGTTGCCCGATTGCTTTGACGCCACATGAAATTGAGCAGGCATCTGCTAAAGACCCTGAATTGCAAATTGTGAGAGATTGCATTAAATCACAGAATTGGTCAAAGTGTGGTAATTCATTTTTGCATGTGAAGAATGAACTTTGTATTCATGGTCAATTAATTTTACGTGGTACGAGAATTGTAATTCCACAGATACTCAGAAAACGTGTTCTAGAGCTTGCACATGAAGGACACCAAGGAATTGTGAAGACGAAAAATCGACTTCGAAGTAAAGTGTGGTGGCCAAACATTGATCGTGATGCTGAACGAAAATGTAAAGTATGTCATGGATGTCAGGTAACAAGTTCGTATAGTCCGCCTGAACGAATGACGCGAACACGACCACCCAGTGGACCTTGGATAGATTGTTGTGCCGATGTTTTAGGACCTTTGCCTTCTGGTGATAACATACTGGTAATTGTAGATTACTACAGTCGTTTTTATGAAATTGTAATTGTGCGGTCGACAACAAGTAAGAAAATAATTGAAGCGTTGAGCACCATATTTTCACGTTACGGAATTCCACTTACGTTAAGAACTGACAATGCACCACAGCTTGTATCTAATGAATTCAAATCATTTTTAGACGAACATGGAGTTCAACATAAATCTACTACTCCATTGTGGCCACAAGCGAACGGCGAGGTGGAGAGACAAAACCGAAGTTTAATGAAAGCCATACGAATAGCCCAAGTAGAAGGTAAAGATTGGAAATCTGAATTAAACAAATTTCTACTTGCATACAGGTCTACACCGCATACAACGACAGGAGTATCGCCATATTATTTGATGTTTGGTCGAGAGATGAGAACAAAGCTTCCAGAAATCAGACCAAAATACAACATAATCGGCGAAGAACACAGAGACAGAGACTGGAGAAACAAGCTACAAGGGAAATTTTACTCAGATTACAACAGAAGATCAATTTTACAATATGTTGAGGTCGGAGATTCGGTGCTCGTTAAGCAAGAGAAAGTTGACAAGATGTCGACAAACTTCAATAAATATCCGTGTGAAATCGTCAAGAAGGAAGGAGGGGAAGTCACAGTCAGAGATGAAAAGGGAAAAGAATTTCGTCGCAATTCAACATTTGTAAAGAAATACGAAGAAGGCACCCAGAATAAAATTGACAATAATGCCAAAGAGTCGCAAATTGCTCCAGACGCGACCAGGCCAAGTTCGGAGGAATCAATTACTCAGCCTTATGAGCGTCCAAGGCGAGAACGAAAACTGCCTTCCAGATTTCAAGACTTTGTAATGAAATAAGTCTAGTTTACCATCTACTCGTAACAAAAGGAGGGATGTAGTGTTCATGGTTCGATGGTCATGAATTGCATGATTGATTTAGTCCTGCGCGATATAAATGCGCAAGGATACATGTCAAGGGGAGCAGAAGTACATTGACGGCGTGGCTGGTGCTGGTTCTATTGTATGGTGTTATTCGCTGTTTATTAAGTTGTATCAATTACTTTTGTGCATACTGAATTGTAGCAGTAAAAGCCTCTTATTTTGTGTGCAAATATCGTGTGTTGCCTTGGGGAAAGCTTAGCAAGATAAAGAACATTGAAGATAGAGGCGAGACACTACATCAAGAAAAATAATACATATGTGAGTGTTTACAACAGAACTGTGTGGTGGTATTCGTTCAATTCACCGCGAAAATCCTGCGAAATCGGTTCTCTAAAATCAGCAGCGACTATCCGGTTAACCGTATATTTAAAATACGGAATACCCGGATATATCCGTTATCCGGATAGTGAAAATTATAGGTATCCGAACTAACCCTAGTTTGAACCAACGACTATCATATCGTATTGACGCAGAGGCGTAGCCAGCATATTTTGCGCCCGGGGCAAAATATAAAATTGGCGCCCCGACCCCCACGTTTAATCATGTTTTCTATTGCATTTAATTGTATATGTAAAAACAAATTATATATCGTCACGCTAATAACCGAATTGCGTAAGTCATTTTTAGCTGTTTTGAGAAAAACGTGAAAAACTTTCTAATGATATTGCTATGCCATTGAGAGTCATTAATTTGCCATAGTTCAACTTTTTGATCGTAGCCGGATTTAAGTTAATTTTTATGACGCAGTCATGTGACGTCATAATGGCGCACTGTGCAAAAATGTGTCTATGACTAGGGGACATACGCAATTTTGCAACTTGACTATATTATGTACCAGTCCTGAAAACCAAACAATCCAAAATTTCCCACAATAGCTAATCTGTTTCAATTACATTATTTTTAATGTTTAAAAATATATATTTCATCAATATAACACGCTCTGCACATCCACCGAAATAAGACTAAAGTTAAATATATCGCCGGATGAGAACAGAACAGGCCTAAGTCACAATTTTGAGTTTTGAGAAAAACGCAAAACAAAAAATTTGGAATTTTTTTATTTTTGAATTTCTAGATAATCACACTTAGTAAAGACCTGAGCTCTGGTTATTTTAATGTGGATGTGAATATCTTTGTAATCAATTTTTTTTGGCATTTCAGCTTCAATTCCTCCCTGCTTTTTTAACCCAATAATAGACTTTGGCCCATTCTGTTCTCAACAACTTCTGAATTTTTTTGTATGGGATGCAAGGTAAAACAAGGTGACTTAGGCCTAATTTGCACTTAAGAAATTTTTAGGAATGTAAGTTTCGGACATTTTATTTCTGATGTTCATGCCCATCATATTGGAACTTGGGACTATCTTTTTTCAGTATTTTGGGGTTTTGAGCCATGCTCTACAAGTTGGTGGTCTTGAAATTCTGAATTTCATAATATTAAAATTTTTAGCTGGACCTAGGCCCACTCTGTTCTCTTAACTTCTACAGTCCTAAGTCCAGCTAAAATTTTTATTATTGTCCCGTTGATGCACTCGAATACGACAAAATAAGTTTCAATTTGGTGAAAGACCGTTCACAGCTTACAATTGAAACTGGTATTGTTAACAAAATTTGTAGAGAAATTCGCAGATTGGGTAAAACGTCGTCTCCAAAAGACACAATAAAACCAAGAAGAGCTAAAGGAGTTTCTGGTTGACCTACAGTTCTGTTACTGAGCAGCATTCTGCAATCTCCAATTTTGGTAAAAAGTTCGTGGCCATTGATGTCCGTGTCGTAGAAATTTGCAAAATCTGTGCAATCTCGACGAATTGTCGAAAACGGCATTGGGGTCATTTAGCACAGTATAATATATTTTATGTAACTCTGCCGCAAAGTACGGTACTTTGACAACAACGAAATACAAAACCACGTATTACTCAAAACGTATTGAACCGTATTTTGAATAATGTTCTACAGTTTATGAATTCAATTTAGTAGCTTCAAATCTATGTGACTTTTTCAATGTTAAATTTGAGAATGTCAAGCACCTATTTTATGAATTTGGGAGAAACGGAACCAGTGACATTAAATTTGTCTTCACCATAATTGAATGTTTATTAAGATACTGTCGGATTTTTTTGGACATGATATGTAATTGTGTTTTGCTTGCTGGTCGATTTTATTTATAAAAATTCAAAATTGGTTAAAGAAGGCCAAAATTCAACTGTTTTTCAATTGACACTATAAATGAGAATGAAAGAATATTGGCACTAAAAAAGGAAAAATACACAAACATAGAAATAAATAGTGAATTCTATTCTGGTATTTATCTAACACCTGTGATATTATATGTGTGTGCGTAATTATTATTATTTTGCATTCTTTATTACGTTTATATTGTATTAAGACTGTGATATTTATATCGTTTTCATGTTGGTGTTGTCATTTTTCAAATTTTTTTTTATGGTTATGAAGAATCGATTTACTCTTTAACTACTCGATAGATTATTATTGTGGCTATGAAATTGTCACTTCACTGTTATTTTCACTGGTATTTTCAAAAATATCATGGGTTCTAAAAAATTCGTTTTTCACTTTGAAGTTTTGATTGATTGATGACGTTATGAAAACTAAAGTTTGGGCACTGTGTAGCGGTTCCATGATCGCGATCAGGTGAAAGATACTACTTCGTTTTGGCTTTCGTATTCATAATATGAGCACTGCTCTCTTGTTGTTGGTGTTGTTGAAAAATCGGTTTCAAGTTTCCAGTACTTGAAAATGGAAGAAGTTGCTAGAAAGTTAGCAGGCAATTTTTCAATTATTATTAGTCCCACTAACTTTCTTTACGTTCCAAGAAACGGATGCAATGGCGGCTGGAATCGTAGCAAAAGTCAAGTCGAAATATACAATAGCCAGACAATTTTAATTTTGACTATTTATATATTTTGTATTTCGTTCGTAAAAGCCAAAAACTTCTTACCTCCAGAAACATTATTTTTGTTTGCGAAATACCATATCTAATCGGCCAATGCAAATGATGTTTAATGCTAAAAATTTTAAATGGTTTTATTGCGTATTTTTTAGATAACCTATAGTTTATTTTAAACGAGTTTAACGCTCTTTGTGTAGAGTTAACTTGCGATACCAGCTAAATCGAAACAGCAGTTTAATGTTTTCCCATATTCGGGATGTTCAGCAAATATACTCTTAGAACTCGAGATTCGATCTGTCAACACCTGGTTAGATTGTTTGCATGCCAGAAAATGACATCCAAAATTTACAGGAAATATTATTACATTACTTTGATGATTTGTTCACCAACACCTTTTGAATTAGACAAACTTAACAACGCGGAACACACAAATATATGCTATGCACGAACCTTTAAGAAATATTGTTAACATTGTGTTTCGTTTGCGACAAACCATTGACTTTTTTTTCGATTATAAGTAGCATAAGCCGATTTTCGTCAACCTGGGAAATGAAGCTTTTATTGCTAGATCAGATCAATCTATTAAATTGTTTTAGTTAGAAGATGGAGAGATAAAATGATTTGTGTACATAAAGTATGAATGCAAAATAATTAAATGACTAACAAGATATATTTTTCTTCTGACTTCTGAAATTAAGCGTATGATAGAATAAATTTAAATTGAACTCAAAATTTAATTGCTATTTGATCGTTTATTATTTTCAAATTCAGTTGCTGCATACTCCGAGCAATAGTGATAGAAAAAAATTTTCATCTCGCTGAAATATATTTGTTAAATATCATTTGAATATAATTTAAATGCTCATATTTGCCTAATTTATGCGATATCCTAGTTACGTGGAAGGGTTAAGTTATAACTTACTCGTATACATTCTATTATATATTTATCAAATGCAGACACATGTCCTAATTTAATTTCGTTGTTATGCGCATAACGACACGCCCTATGACCACGACGAGACCTCGATTCAAGTTATTTTCAAAATGTTACAAACTTCGTTTTATTCCACGCCAATGATTTTACCATTGCGTCATCATCCGATAATTCCTAAACTAATTACAATGTTATTTTCCCTCGAGCGATTTAATTCTAATTTCCGGACTGTGAGAAGTTTGCGGTTAATTTGTTCATAAAAATGTTGAGATTATTTTACGGTTTTCATTTCGTCAAATGTATACAGTATAGCACAAATAATATTTAATCTTTTATTATTTAGTACAATAGCAAATAGATAAAGATGGAAGGAAAGGAAAATAACTCATCGTTGCCATGGCCCAAAGACGGAACAAATTTGCATGTTGACTGAGATATTCATAGAAATGAAAAATAATTTATTGAAATTACCTTTTATATATGATATTTTAACAATTTTTGTAACAGTAAATTAATTAGCACACATGCTCGACAATCAGAGTTTAAATACTAGTTGATACGATTCGTTCCGCGTCTATACAATGTAGTAAAAGTTGGATGCATTTATTAGAACAGATGAAAACAGTTATGCCAAGCCAGATAGTATTAACTTTGGGTCTGAAATATTTTATGTTTGTGAGTACAAAATGGGCATTGATTCAATATTTCAAAATTGTTCTTCATCAAGTTACTTCACTATTACCAGTATTACTTCACTATTACTTTTTTCATTGTATTTTATTATCTCTTTACACTAACACATTTTTTTTCAATTTGAGATGACTTCATATTTATTTTCATATGTTCACTGTAAGCATCTTATCTCGTAAGAAAACATAAGTTTTCTGCCAGAATTCTCGCTTTTGTTAAATTTCTTCGTTTGATTTATACTGCAATCTCATCTTCATTTTTATTTATTCTGTTAACCTATTCAAATTTAATTACGTCACCTATTTGATGACAACAGGAGTTACTAAAATTATATTTGATATAGTATAAATGCATCATATTGGCTTATTTGTTACATTTTCAC